GTACATGTACTGTGTATCAACTGTAAATACTCACTTACCCGTAAACAAGGGACACACATTGATGCACGTGCTTATCCTGGTTTCTACATGTAACATACTATTTAAATCAAACAACAAAAGATGAAAGTTCATGTGCTGTTTCATATTGTTTCATAGATAATATACGGTAAGGCAAACATTTACACTCTTAGAAAAGGGAACGCACAGAACTCAAGTCAGACTTGGCTCCATAAATTTTCTATTTTATGAGTTTTATCATTAATTAATAGGTTTTATGTTTTATTTTCTTACGCTGTAGAATGAAGTGTTTTGGGGCTGATTTTAAATAAATCAGGTGATTGGTACATGTGTACACTGTCATTTCCTGCACAGTCCTTTAAAAATAACTTCCATCACCATCCTTTTTCTATTTTCTGACATGGGATGTGTTCCATGTAGAACCTGAGAACATGCTTATCTTGGCCCAATCAGGCAGCGTTAATGGGCTGGAATGTTTATCTGTCGTTGCTAATGAGTTCAACACACACCGGCATGGCAGACAGTGGAACAGCTGAATAGTGGATGGCCCTTCATTCAGACTCCACACACGCATATATGCACACGTGGGGCCCCTGTCTGTCTGGCATGTGTGATGACCTCTGATATGACATTTGATGGAAATACATATTTATATTTGGGGGTATTATCTACAATGTACATGTACATGTACATTATCTGTCAATAAATTACTTAGAGAGTTTTAGAAAGAAACAATGGATGGAAAAAATTGCCCGAAAAAATAGGAACGTTTTCATATTTATATTTTGGGGGTATTATCTATCTGTCAATAAAAGTATGAGAACTTTAGAAAAAAACAATTGATTTTAAAAAATCACCAGAAAAAATTGGAACGTTTATATTTAATAAATATTGACGAACAAAAACTGAACAATGATTACCAGGATAGAAGTATGTGAAAATGTTGTCTCAAATTGAATTTCATCAATTTTAAATTCTCAACCTCAAATACACTGTCGAGGTAAAACGTATCACAACTTTGTACATGGACACATGAAATAATCAAACCCTAATGGTATCTCTAAAAGTCCAGAGCAAATGTTGCCACAGGATACATGTCAAAATACCACACATCCATGTCCAAGATTTGCCACTCCCCACTCAGGTGAAGTAATGGGGAAGAAGAAATTCCTTGAATGCTTTAGCGCCTATCATGCATGCGTCTCAGTCACATATACATTGTTCAGCCGTGTTAATAGTATGACACCTTGTACCAGGGTGCTACAAGAATTTTTTTCACCACTTGCCCTGTCGGGCAAGTGGGTTTTCAATTTACTTGCCCAAACAATATTTCCACTTGCCCAAAACTTTTTGTTTACTAGCACAATCGAGAAAAAACAGCTGATCAACGCACGTGTGTGTCTGTGCAAGCCGCTGTCATTTGGAAACGTAGGCTAATTTTCAGCTGTTAATATTTGGGTCAACTCTTCCATCAAGAAACGTCATGTAAATAATGGGTAATCAACTATTTTAAATAAAGTACGGACATTTTTATTTCATCATTCACTGCTATAAATATCATGCCAAAATTTGTAAATTCTTACTAAATAATAATATTGAAGATATTTTACGATAAATCTCGGATAAGTATGCGAAAACTAGACTAAACAACGTCGCTAAAACCATGAAAACAAAACAACAACGGCTTATATTCTGGGGGTCTCGATACTATTATCAAAATGACTCGCTCGGTCGGATCTTGAGACCACAGTAATAAATTGAAAACGAGACAAAAACATTCATCTGATTTATATGAGCAGCGAGTTTTAAATAATATGTTCACAATCATTAACAGTCATTATGAATAAATATCAAACATTTGACTTTTTGTACTTACTAGAAAATCCCTGTTGTTTATTCCATTCCGATTCGCACGTGTTCATTTCCCTAGAATAATGACGTCATATTTGGCGTGATTCAACCAATCGGCAATCAGAGAATAGCAAAGGCCTGTCGGTGCGGCCTGCAGAGCTAGAGAGAGAGAGCGCGAATAAGCTCGCAGCTGGTACGATCGCGCTAGCTGTCTCTAGCTAGCTAGCTCACGGCCGGCCGTGCGTGGAGGCGGAGCGGCATTCATGGCTTGAAGTGTCACTGTTGCATGCGCGCTGAGCTGAGCTGGCTAGCTGTCTGTGAAGTTTTTTCGAAATCGGAACGATCGCTTTTTTGCTTCTGGATTTTGACGACGGGTAAGAAGTTGACGGGTGAATGGTAGAGTTCTTGGACACTAGGAAATTACTGTAAAAGTATCACTTGCCCGAATCGGGCAAGTGATAATTTGATTTACTTGCCCGACGGCTCAATTTGGTTGCCCCGGGACGTCGGGCAAGCGGGTTTGTCGCGCCCTGCTTGTACCTTGTATTAAGCGCAGTACAGTGTTGATACAGTACATATTTGCCGGCGTTAAGGCCGCAGTATTTTCGGAAGAGAAAATATCATATAAAGTCTGGGTGCGGCCTATGCGCAACAACTAAAAATTCAGCGGTCAAAACAGCACGTCCATTGGTACATATGGGGCTGTGCATCTTTCCGACTATTTTATGTTGCATTGTTGACATGAAGACATAAGACATAAACTTCATAATTTATTTTTCTAACAAAATCTACCGGTAGATCTAGATCTACATTAAGTTCGTGCCATTGCATCGCTAAAAATTAAAAGAAGGGACCGTTACGGAGCAAGCTGCCATGCAACGCAACTGCGCATCCAGCCAAAGTCACAATTCTGTATTACACCGCACATCGTGGTATGGTGGTACATTGTATACATGTACATGTACATGTAGGGTACCAAAGCTGCCTGTGATAAACTTACTACCGGTAGCTTAAAAATTGATGTAGATTTGCTAAATTACGATCATTTTGGGGGTTAACTTCCTGTAAATTTATAAGAATATTGATGAATTTGGTTTCAGTTTGTAGAAAAAATAGTGTTCTATGAGAAAATTACGATAATTTTGTTTGGTCCGTTTGTTTGTTTTTCTCTTTTCCTCTACGAAATGTCAAAGTTAGGGGTGCGGCCTTATCGCTAGCAAAAAAGTTATTAGCTGCAAATACTATTGTTGTCATTATTATTAAATTACTATCATACATGTACATGTATGACCATGGTACCAGTTGAACCCCCTTAACATGCATGTATTTTCTCGAGTATCGCATTTGTTAGGTGTTTCCTTGTGTTTAACAGAATCGGCCGAATCAGACTTTAGGTGCCTGGGGCCCTATTCTGAACCCTGTGTTATCTCTATATTGTTGTATCTTTGAAGATAAGATAAAGTTGGTATTCTGAATATTGTTGTAACTTTTGCTGTATCTTTTGTTGTATCTTTTCTCTTACATGTATCTGTTTGGTAGCGCCTGCGTTCAAACTTTTGTGCGCTTGTAATTGTGCTTATTAGTAATAAAATGGTGTATAATCCTCATTTGCATATGCACACGAGAGATAATATGACAAGATAATTGATATTCTGAAAATTGTTTTATCTTTTATCTTATCTTATCTTGCATGGTATTTACAACAATGTTTACAACAGGTAGGGGGTTGTTGTATCTTTTGTATTATAATGATAAAATGGCGGCAATATTTCTTGCCCAGAACCAACTTTGTGCCAATAGATGAGTTAGAAAAAGATTGTGTGTTGACCGGAAACATCACAGATGAGAACTTTCTAAGAAATTACTTGCTAGGATATGACGATTTTAATGCTCTCATCTTAACCAAGATAATGAAAGCGTGACTTGTCTTCATGATCCACATGTATGCCACAGCACATATGATGATGCACGTAATCAGCGCTCAAATAACCAATTACGCCCAAGATTAGTATGCGCAGGGCGCATCTTCAGATATGGCTTCAAGTATTCCTATTGGTTGACCTACTTATCATGCTTATATAAAACAGATTTTGATTGGTAGGGTCCATACAAATGGGCGTGTCAACAGTGGTCAAAGATAAGATAGAGGCGGTCCTTCAAGAGATAGGCCACATGTAACACAGGGATAAATGATTTTCAGAATACCAACTTACATGTACAACAATATTAGCGCTAACAATGTTCAGAATACAGCCCCTGGTGATTCTGTTAAGGTTCACTTACAAAATGTACATGTACATGTACACATGTAGCACCAAAAATAGAGAACTGATTATGGATCATAGACAAGCATGACATTTCCAGTAGGGGCGCTGGTCCGAGAATAAGGATCGTCCGCTTAAACGAGGAGCGTCTTCGTAAATGCGGACAGACGCGTCCGCAAAAATAAGGATAGCTGCATTTTTGGAGACGTTTCTTATTTCGATCCGCACGTCAGCCATGCGAAAAACGGATTCCGTGGTGATTTTCTTGGTTCATTTTACATTGACTTTGTACAGAGACTTTCACGTTATGAGCGATACATCCTCTGGAAGATGGATAACCCATAAAAGTAGACGGTAAACTCAGAACTGGGGGTATTTTATTAAGCGGAATCAGCTTTTGGCATCGCCAGGGCGCGCTTCGGGGACCCAAAACCAGCAGAGCGACGATGACAAAAAAAAGTCTGCAGGCGATCTTTATTTTGGTCCACATCTACAAGGATATCTTCGTTTGTGTGGATGATCCTCATTCTCGGACCAGAGCCCCTACTGATACAAGGGCTTCCATTCTTCATACAATTACAAAATCTCAATTGTGTTTATGCAACAATTTCTCCGACTCACATCAAATACAAAATCCCCAGAATAGAGAGAAGACACAATTCACAAATCAGCAATGTTTAATCAATCATAACCCACTAATGAGCTCATTCAGCGCATTCTCGGCACGTCTCACAATCACTCACATTCAATTCATGACATTCAGTTCATGACATCTAGTACACTGCAGTGCAGTGGTCGAGAGACGAGAATGTTCACATCACAATTTGAATTTGAAATTTGAATTTGTAAACATACAATTGCCTTGCCACCTAAATATACACATCCCCGAGCGAAGCTCGGGGATGTACCCCGCTTGCTCCAAAAAGCCGCTGAGCCCCCTACACATTTGCCGACGACACGAATATCTATTCTATCATAACCTTTATCACCTTGGGAGTGTGTTCTGGGTGTTCGGTATTACATGAGCTTCATGCAGCTCTATTTATTTTTAAATAAAAATGTTAAAAACTCACCTAATCCTGCCTTTTTATCAGTAAAGTCCTTCACACAGCGAACAAAGTTGTGTGCAGTCCTATGGGGCTCGATCTCATGTAATCGCTGTATATGAACCGGAAGGTAATCGCAACTCTGTGAAGGTCAAGTCACGTGACGAGATCGCCCGAGTAGCACGCGCGGAAGCAACTGCTGTAGCAGACGACGCGACGTCTATACTGTGTGCAATGTAAATTTATAGCGTAATCGCCCAGATTCATTCATGATTCAGGCAGAAATTATTCAGCGTACGTAGAAACTGCCATGGAAACGAGAATGCTCAAAGAAGTTGTGGATGATGTGCTCGGAAGTACTTTTGTACTGAAACAAAAACAGGAGTCCATGCTCATAAGCGCTGCCAAAGGAAATCACACCATGGGGATCCTTCCCACTGGATACGGAAAAAGTTTGATTTATGCCCTCCACGCACCACTTTTGAACAAAGTAGGCATATTGTGTTTTTAAATGTAGCTGTCGTTTTTTTTATTGTCTTAATATTTTTTGTTAATCAGCTTTCTTGAATGGAACATGCAACAGAAAACAAGCGCCGTTTAATATGATTTTGTATAAGTTAATATTAAGGCATTGCCGTATATATACAAACTAGGGGTATGTTTGACCTTTTTTTTTTTTTTTTTTTTTTTGCCAGTGTTTCATGATTTTTTTAGAGGGGGACAAAATATCAAATGTCCCCCCTCCTATATACGATTTGAGGTTTAACTTGTATTTTTAAGATTATATGCGACTTTTTGGTGTTTTAGTCGATGTGAGACCTTTCATTTTTCTTGTCAGTTTGTTTTGGAGTCGTTTGTTGGTTTTTACCTACCTCTCCACCTCACTTATTTATTTTTTGAAGAAAAAAAAATCACCAACAAGTTGAACAACAAGGTTTTTGTTAGTTTGTTCGTTTGCTTGTCGGAGAGGTGGGTCTCTTGCACGTATCCTGATGGAATAAGGCTCTGTCATGGGTGTAAAGGGGTGTAAAGTAAACTCTCATTTTGTGTTGTTGTAGTTGTTTTTTTGGGGAGGCCGTTCTCAAGGCCATCGTTTTGATCTTCTTTGCCGCTCCTTAGCCCCCCCCCCCCTCCGTTTTGGAATTGGTAGCGGCACACCCCCGTCAAAATAACAGTCCCCCCCCCCCCCCCCCCGGGGGAGTTATACAACCTCCACAATCTTTTCCAAATGTGTCATAAGTATATGCACGCCACGGGTTAGGTGCTCCCGACCCACTCATTTTACATGAATGCAAAAAGGAATGAGACGATCGAGATTCATTCATGCTGGTCTAATTTCAGATCATTATTTTATTTGCATGCATACAGTATACATTCATCGGATAGCGGGCCTTAAAAAGTCCGTCTGATCATGCAATGAGATACCAGGCCCAAATAAGGAACGGAACGGCATACTTCCCATAATTATGTGGATGCAAGACCAGCCAAAAAAAACAAAAAACAAAAACAAATACAAAAAAACAAACAATAACACACATAAATGAATGAAAATAAAATATAAAATTAAGGTTTCAAAATTAGGCAGAGCTGCTGGAAAATGTACTGGTTTTGTCCCAATCACAATCGGTCTTAAAATGATCACTTAAAGATATAATAATAATCAATAAAATAAGATTGGTGGGACCAGCCCCCCCCCCCCCCCCTCCCCATTCCCATCCTGCAGCATAGTGAATATGATTATATTTAACCAAAAAGAAAATTGAAGAAACTAATAACATTCATATTCACTGTCTAAAATATATAACTAACAAACACAGTTATATAGTTACCTTTACAAATGTATGATAAACTAAAACCTGTGCATGCATTAATCTTCTTCTTTTTTTTTTTTTTTACAGCTGAATCCACAGAAAACACACATAACCCTCGTAGTAAGTCCGCTTAAAAGTCTAATGCTGGACCAGGTGCGCAGATGGAAGAATCTTGGCATCAGAACTGCGGCCATTCTTGGCCATTCAGGTCATGACATGGACAGGGAGACTGAAAACGGTAATTCAAACAGCAACGAGAGATTTTACACGTTGTGGGTCATACAGCGGATTATACCAGGTGTCCCAGAAATAAAGTGGAACGAAGATTTTTCAGTATGCTTGCCTTAATTCAAAAGCTACATATTTGGTTTTACATTATTGGATAAATCATTTTCTACCAAAGACCAAAGAGAATGATGCCAAGATTGTTGTAAATGGTTCAGTAATTTTGATTCTATGCCCGTTTCTTTTAATACAATCATTTTCAAATTTCGCATGCTTTTAGCGACCAATATATAGGAGTACTTGTGTCGGGAATGGCGTGTAACATGCGTCCGTTTTCCGATTTCAGTTTTTCTTTTGTTTGCATGCATCAATGGGCTCCCCCCGAACATTCGAAATTTGAAAATGACTTTATTTAAAGAAACGACATGAATCAACACTACTCAATCAAATTCAAAGATCTAATTAGTATCATTCTCCTCGGTAGAAAATTCTTTACCCAAATGATGCAATAAAATTATACATTAAGGATCGTCATCACTTGTATAGGTAGGGCGTAATAGCATTACCATAATTTACATCACAACAAATAGTGCTTCTTCTTGCCACAGTTATGGTTAAATATATGGTAATAGTGTATAACATTATTATTATTGAAGTGATAATGCAAAACATCAAATCCGATGTACAATAAAATAGATAGACGACATACACTGTAAAAACTGGGGTGTTAAAATTGACACCAGTCGGTTTTAGTAGAGGACTACACCTTCAGGTATTAAAATTACTACCTTAGAGTTTGGACATAACACCAAAAATGTTAGAATAACACCATTGGGTGTTGAATTAACACCACAGATGTAAAACGCATGGCGTTGTCCTCTATGTACACCCGATATCAATATAGTTCTTGTTGTATCTGTTGATAAGAAATACAAGTGGAATAGATGTGGGATGTGATTATTTCACGTGTTTATATACAGAATGCACTCGATAGAATTTGACATGAATGCATCGATCACAACGTTCCTGTTATTTCTTCATTTATTAAACAGACCTGATGAATGGAGGGACAGACCTCGTTTTTACTTCCCCGGAGGCCATCCTGTCCCCTAAGTGGTGGCAATGGGTGCGGAAGTTTCAAAACAGGATTTCGTTGCTGGTGCTAGATGAGGTTCACTGCTTTACAAAATGGCATGTTCTTGAAAATTATTTATATATTTCAAGCCATTATCATACAAAATACATGTCTTTTAAAAGCTTATCACTTTTGTTTCTGCTAATCATGTGATTACATGGGCCCATTCAAGATAGCTCTGCATTATGAAGCTGCGTGAAAGTCTTAAACAGCAAGCGAGTTTGCAAAATGCGCCTTCAAAATGTGACATATTCATATAAGACAAAATAGGTATTTCCTCTTCATCGTTTACATAATGAAGGCCTATACATATACTCTGCACCAATGTCATTTTCATAAATATTAACAAGGAGCTACGTTTTCTGAGCTCAGTTTACTTCACTCATGCACAGTGGGATGTGCACTTTCACATGAAGACACTAATTATAAACCATAATTACACATTATCAAATTCACAACATTCACTGATAGGTAAATAGGTCAAACGAGTCAATTTTACCAATCATTTGTGTTCATCTTACAGGGGTCTTACATTCAGGGAGGAGTACCTCCGGACCACATCTTTGACATCCAGGCTGGCATGCCCTATAATGCTTCTTACAGCCACGGCAACAAACAGAATGGTCACAGAAATACTTCAAAACCTGAATCTCCGCAGGGAAGAAGTAGAAATATTCGCCGCTATTCCCAACAGGTTGGTTATACCTTATCATCATAAGCAGTTAATGTGAATGATCATTATTAATGATTTCTTCAAGTCAATTGATCATGATCATAGTATACATACATAGTATCTACTACTGAACTTCTCTTCCCTTATTGTAATAATAATTATGTGAGAAATCTTAAAGGAAAATGAAAATCAGACAGCAAAAACAAAATAAGAATACAGCCCTGCAGGGTTGCGACTAGGAACATTTATAAATAATAAATATGGTTAAGAGTGATCAGGGGTATATCAAAGATTTTAATAGGGACAGGGTTCAACAGGGGGCGGAAGGAGAACTTGCGCGCTCGCAAATCTACATTCTGCATGATACAAAATATCAGTAAAATGCAGTCAATATCTTTATGTATTTATTTATGCATTTATTAACATTAGATTATTATTATTTTTATTGTTGTTATTATTATTATTATTATTATTTTTTAATTATCATTATTATGATGTCGATGGCTATTATTGTTGTTACTTTCATTGTTATTATTCTCTTTCATTTAATTTATTTATTTGTTATATTTTGTTTTGTTTGTTAGGAATTCAAACATGAGTCCGGTATCAGGGTATTAGCCAATCAAAATCGCGAATTTCGAGACTTATGTTTGAGTTGCTGAATTGGGTTTGATATCAGCTTTTATACCACAGGGTCCAGGGTTTCATAATTACTCGGATAGGCCCTTTTGAATATCATAAATGAATCATAAGGGAATTGACAGAACTTTAAATCGGACAGAAACCTGTGTAATACTCGTTATCAGTTGAGGCACATTAATTGTCTACAGCAGAGAGTCATAATGTCATAAACTATTAGGCTACATACGGACATTTAATGAAATCTTGTGTGTAAGGAGACTTTTAAGGAATATATGAATAGCTCTGTGGATATGACTGAGTTCATGTACCTTTAATTGTTCTATCCACAGACCAAACATTCATCTATCAGTGGTTCCGGTGAAGGACAAGTTTGAAGCCATTGGATGGTACTTGGATGAATTAAAGGAGAAGGGTGTCGATGCTGCAAAAACCATCATTTATGCACGGTAAATAAATTTTAAAACGCAATTTTCATTTTTCTTACGGAATTAAGTTTTATGAAGGTTTTCATTTTCAATTAACTAGTATGTCAAAACTTTAGGCGAATCTTTATGACAGCGATGCGTTCATTCTTACGTTTAACGTTTTGCAATATAAAGAATTATGTTCACATTATAAGGGGTCAATTTCATAAGGAGTTACGGTTAATCGTTACTTTGCTCAATAAACGGTTTTCCGTTCAGTTACAATTTATATCACTTTCACTATTGTTGACTGGATCTTAAAAGAGGCACACGTGGATTAGCTTCAATATCCTTAATAATGTCACTAAGTATTGTTCTTTCAGACAAATCGACCACGTTGCTGAACTCTACACATGGCTCAACGAAAGCCTCGCCGAGTCCGCCCATGCTCCAGGACCAGGGCAGTCTTGCAGTGTGGAAAGTAGACTGATCGAAATGTACCACGCATCAACGGACTCAAAGAGTCAGGAACGAATATGTCGTAACTTTTCCACCGAAGGTTCTAAGCTGCGCTGCGTTGTAGCAACAATAGCATTCGGTTTGGGTGTCGACATCGCCGACATTGATCAGGTTATCCACTGGGGATGCCCTAGTGATGTCCTCTGCTATTGGCAAGAAACAGGCCGATGCGCGAGGGATGGAAGACCCGGAAAAGCCATTATGTATCTGCCACCCTTTTCAGTCAACAAGAGATGGGTTGATGAAGACATGAGGGACCTTGTCCAATCATCCCGCTGCATCCGGAAATCGGTGTTGAACACGCTCTTCGTGCATGGCATGGAAAAGGACAATGTACAGGTGATGTCATGCTGCTCAGTTTGCGACAGTGCTAAGTAATACGGGACCCATAGCATGTATCCATTTCTATGAGTCAGTGCACAATTTAACACTGCGACGCTGTGCATCCATTCTCGTAGAAAGTGCTTTCAGCTTTTTACCAAGGTTCTTTGGATTTCGCAACACCTCTTTATGGTCGAACCCTTCAAAGCCTTTGTGTTGTCTGAAGGGCAAGTATTCAAACAGTCCAAATCCATCGTTCTCATCCACAAACAATGCAACATCTTGTTTGTATACATCCTCTGCTTTCTTCCTAGTTGGCGTCTTCATGGAGACGATCCCGGCATCACTGAACATGATATCCAGGTACCTACCAAATGGTCCTGACATCTTGGCACATCTCTGCGCGTGTTTCTCAGTCACATTTCCATGAGCGAAGTCGATCATACCTGCAAAAATTGATACAGAAAAAAAAACAGTTAAAATATAATTGTTGAGAAGATCAAATCAACCTTGATTTATAATTGCATATCACGTCACCTACGCACAACGCAAAATGCGTCAAACATTGCAACTGACATACCCTTGTAGTCCATGTTAATGTGCTCAGTACCAAGGTCCATCCCTATGTTTCCTCCGGGCTTGCCAGTGACATTGATGACTCTGTTCCAGATCAAATTGTTCCTGATGTCAGAAGGAGCAAATCCACCGATACCTGATGCCATGAAAAAACAATTTGCGAAATCTAAAACCAACATTTCACCAACATGACCAAGGAAATACTTTCTACTTTTCAAACCCCTCGTTCGAGGATCATTTCATGATGTTCAAAGGATCGCATGGGCACCATCCCTTTAACGTTAACTAGCTAGGTCACTATTAGTTTGAATGCACATGCCATCATTATGACCGTTCATCAGTATACACTTTATTAATTGTGTGTTTGCCAGCGTCCTTCTTTCGGCAAATGGCACAAATCTCCTATCTCTTAAACAATGCTTAATCTGTTTATCCCCAAACTCACAATATGCACATCCTGGAGGATTCGTTGTCTAGTACACCTAATCACAAATGAAACGGACGTATTCTATGTGCATTTCAAGTGGAAGTGGGTCTAAAAGATGATGTGATGATGTGGCACACAGAATATATTTTTGGCACATAATAATAAGTTTATCGTGAGTGTCATGAAGTCTTGTCCTGTCAGTTATTCTCGCATCGAGTCAAATGAATATCTTATCAATGTAAAATCTTATAAGTCTTCAAATTCCAGACTCACATGCTAAAAAGTAGTGGGCATTGATGAGGTACTTTGGGTGTCTCTTTGACCAGAAAGTTATGAGATCGATTTTCCAGTCTTCAACCATGACTGGTCCATTTCCAGCCCGAACTGCTGCTCTCCTGGCTAGATGTCGCAATCCTTCCAGAACGAGAGCTCTACTGTGGTTCAGCACATGGTCGTCGTTTTGAGAATCAAGGGCGCATTCTTCACTGCAATACCACTTCTCTGCGAAGATATATATATGGAATGCATTGGAACTAATGGATTTGTGAAAATTTGTTCCCTCTTCTTATTCTAAGGTACGGTTAGGGCTAATAAGATGCTTGTATAATTTATGATCGAACCTCATCAACTAGACTTTTGACATCCATGGAAAAAATGGGAATATGGAATATATAGTCCACGAATAGAGTTTTGGCTTGCATATCGCAGATTCTGGTAGAGTTTTATCCAGATAGGGACACCAAACGTTGCAGGATTAGTTCTATTTAGTGGGTTATCCAAACTTGCTAAAATGTTAATATTTGAAATTGTGTATTTATAATATTCCTGAAACCTTGTAACTATGAACAATTACAATATTCTTACCGGGTAAGAGATCAGTCAACTGAAGACCAATGCATCTGTGGTGATACCATTCATGACCCCTGCAGTTTCCTTTCAATGCGCACTGCGCCATGTTTGTGTTGCCCTCTGGATCGACTTTCCGCTGGCACACACAGTAGATGTAACTCGGACCACTCTCACAGTCGGCGCTGCAATACCAGTCTTTCTCTTTGTCTGGAGCAGCTGTCAACCCAACACAACTAAGGTGAAACCAAGCCTTGTGACATGTTGAACTGCAACACAGCACCATGTCGTCATTCTTTTCTGTATTAATTATTTTAAAAGGTTGGAAAAACATGTATCAGTCTTGTCGAATACAACTCAATTTTCTTTCAACAGAAGTTAGAGAAAACATTATTAAATTCATCCCCTAACTGATAGAGTGATATGTGTTTGAAGGATATCTTCTTTTTCTTCTATTGTCCACTTTTAAAATGCAACGCCCGTCTCCAAAACGAATTTGGGAGGTTTAAAATGCAGTTTAAGATAATTATGTTAGTAATGGCTTTGGAAAAAAATCGATATAGTGTACAATTCAGCTTGTAACTTATTTACCATTAGGTATGGCATTAATTGTCACTTGATTTTGGAAGCTTTTATCATATAATGAAACGGGAGCATATTCAGTTAAAAGTGCAAAAGAATAGATACTGGTACTGATGGACATGCCTACCAGATTTGCAGAGGCAATAGCCTAGTGCATCATCTGTTCCTTCAGAGGCCTCATTCTTGTATGCTTCTGCAGCTACTTGAACTGATGACTTATCGGGCTCCTGGTATATGTAGTCCACAACTTGTTGTGCCACACTCTTTACCCATTGGAGTTGTTCCTCTGTCGTTCCTTTAGCAGGGAAACTATCAGGGATGTCGTTTAGGGATGACGTTCCACAGAACTTCAATGCACAAAGGAGAGTGTACGCCTCGGTCACGAACTGCATAAATTATAAAAATGATTATTATAATGTGACTTTTAAGTTATGCTGGGATCATTCTTAAACTATCAAAACATCGTAACCCCCCCCCCCCTTTCTCCTTTTACTGACATTTCCATCATCATTTTTGTCAGTATAAGCTTTAATCTTGAATAATTGTCGCCATTCCAATCCACATTTTGAAACGTCTTTCTCCAATTTCAGTTACTTGAGGGAAATTCATCAACACCCCTCCCCCCTTCACATGAACACAAGCAAAAGCAACAAACGCACACACACACACACACACACACGCACACACACATACACACACTCACACAAATACGGCTTACCTCGTACATATCCCAGACATGCTGAACATTTTGCATCACGTCTTTTTTGAAGGAATGGTGATTGAAGTCGCATTTCAGTTGTGCAAGTGTTCCTCGTGCAGAAATACTTTGACCTCTGAAGAACACATTGTTCGAGTCCTATTATAAAGATTGGCAATATATCTGAATAACGTGATTTATGACATATTTTTCAATGATATCATTTACAAGCGATCATTTCAGTTTCTGGCTCTGACTTTGCAATTTACACGTCCTGTTTTGATTAATCGACAAATGAAGAGAATTTGACACCTAACCCTATCTTTTTATTGAACTGCAATATAATTTTTCCTAATCGACATTGTCATTCACGTTTTGAGACACAGAGCATAAAAGGTCATATAAGACGGTGAAAACTCTTTTATTTGATCAATTGTAATTTGCCAACACGTATTTACTGTGGTCCATGTAGGCATTATTTTAACAAGACCGTGGGAGGGGGGGGGGCATGACGCCCATGCTATTAACCCTCCAATTAAGATGATAACATGACTTTTAGACTCGAATATCATCTCACTTAAGAATTATATTGGGCTGCACCAGTGAGAATGTTCTTCCTTTCAAACTGACCTGCAATAGGAGGATCTCCTTGTGGAACTCCTGAGGTGTTGCAAAGAATGCGTCGAGTCTGTCCTCCCATCGTTCCCCGTTACTTCGCGCTCTCTGGGCGTGTAATATGCGTTCGATTGTCAGCCCGTCGCCACTGACGAGGGTCTGTGTTGGTGTTCCTTCGGTAACAGGCACATAGGTCTGGAGGCGCTCCAGGACTGAAATTGTCCCCTGCGTGGTACTAGGATTGGCGTTCACAACTCCAATTGTTACCTGTATTATAGGTAATTATTATCTGAATGTCAACATCTATTTTTCTTTGATAATATAATCTGAACTTATAGCAGTATGCCCACTATTTTCCTGGTTTCTCTCAGTATGAAGGTAGTTTAAAGTTATACTTCTAATCATTAGATATTACATTATCAACGCGAAGTGAACATTTAATTTGTCAAGTTGGTACTGGATAAACAACTAAGGCATACAATTTGAAGTACTCAAATCGGGCACTATAATTCAGATTCAAGTTAAAACAAACAAATTAAAAAAAGACTGTGAGTTGTATATTGAATAAGGCCTCTATAGCTGCACCCCTGGTCAAATTCTCACCATTTCAGACTTCTTAGCCATGGCAGCTGTTTGTGCGTGTTCTTGTGTGATGGGAAGGTCAGGAGATAAGCTCTCTAAAAAGCCCATATGCCTCCCCATGATGTTCGATACCACATCTACTAAGCGCATTCGCTGGCGGTTGAAGACTTCCGGTGAGGGCAAGAAGCTAAACGGGTCTAAGTCCTCTGCATCGCTCACTGTCGAGGATGACGAAGAAGCTGGCACCCTGTCCCTTGCCGCGTAGCACATCGTCTGAAGGAGGAATTTGTTGCTATGTGTTCTGCCTTGATGTTTTGCTTCACATCCCTTCTGCACGTTGTCAATACAGAGTCCAAATGTAGGAGGACCGGTAATGAACTTTAGCTTCCGACGTATTGTCATGCTCGGCGCTTCCTGATCAATTTAGGGAGAGAGGGATTTCGTATTATCCACATGTCAATTCATTTCAGCATAATATTAATTGAGAAGGAAACACCGATTTTTTTTTTTAGTGTTTTCGTGTTATCTAGAGTAAAAAAAAAGTCATACATTGCTACAAGAGGAAGCGGTCATTTCCTCAAACTATATCTCGATACTGCCAAGTTCTTACTAAGGGGACGAGCTGTGGGAATAAAGAGCTTTATAGATTTTAATACGAACAACTTTCAGAAAAAAGAACATAGTAGACGACTAGTATGGATGTACATAATTTTGTTAATTACTGTGAATATTCAAAATGGTGTATGACTCAAGTACACCCTATATTTCTTCACCTCAATTGTACACTTCCACTCTTTAAGTTGTTGGTCATGATTTTCCGCCATTCTATCGACATGGAACCTGACGCGCTCTGCTCCCATGGTGATGCCACTGTGATTGAGCGTCCGGAAGACTTTCTGGGACACTCCTTGGCGCCACAGTTCTATTCCCATGGTCGCCTGGACAAATTGGAAGCTGCGTGGCGAGTGGGTGTATAATGCCATGGCTAGTATAATTCCCATTCTGCGGTCGATGATTTCCTTTGCCTCTTTATCGGATAGTCCCCTTTTAATGGATAAGAAAAATAAGATCGTTTACGTTATTATCTTTCTTATAAGAAGCGTATAAAGTACTTTTCACCGCAAATTATTGCTTGGGAAACAGAATTTGGTTGTTGTACCCTCCCCCCCCCCCCCCAAAAAAAAAGTCCAATAACATGACACACAAAACCTCGGACTGCCAATTAAGGCTATCAGATTCGAAATATTAATTCAGTTGTTGAGTTCCTCTAACTTCTCCCGTCTCTATCTTAATGCCACAAAATCATATATTTACATAATTACGTATTGTGCGACACTAAATTGTCCTTTTGCATGTGTTTAGTTTATCTGTGTAATGTTAATTTATAATTTCTTATGTGAAGGAAAGCGCCCACAATCTCTCTTACTTTTCAATGACCCCGCTTTATCCCCCAAAGTACATAACTATGATCAGTGTGAAATGTATTCAGGTTATCACTTATCAGTACTACATGTTGTACCTCCGAGAGCCTTTCTTTCCTTTTGTTCTTCCTCTCTTGGCCCCTTTGACCGAAGGCATCATTGCCGAGATGCAACTGATTGAGAGTGGCATAATCTTCTCGGTGTCCTCTACAAGATCCTCCCAGCTGAATTCTGCGACATTTCCAATTGTCACTGGCTGGCTCAAGGCGCTTCCGGATCGCTTAATGGCTTTCACCTGATAAATACAATCAATCATACTTTAAATTGACTAAAGACATGCGAATACCACGTCGTTATTGTAGTTAAATTGTAAAGCATATGTTTGGTTTCTAATTTAGTCAAATAGTTAAATAACGTAGAAATTGAAACGTTTTCCCGACTCATGACTTGCCTGAAAATCGTTAATTTCATAAAATAATATCGTCTCGCTCTAGAAGCGTAGAAGGAAAATTGTTCAACCAAAATCGATGATACTGGTATCAATTTCTTTAGAATTACATATACACTAATCCATAAAGGCATAGACCGTGCCCCCACCCTCTAGCCTATAATAAAATTTCTTACTTCTTCCCGGATCATCTCTTGCGTGACCTGTAACAGTGCCTTCTTTGCTGCTGGATAATTCCCACATAATTGTCTGAATGCGAGGCGATATTGCGAATTTTCGACACTCGCTACAGCCCTCTCCTTTGCAGTGGTTGGTCTCGAACCAGATTCAGGAAAGAGAGACGGAAGCTCATCGTTGAGTTCAATGCTCATTGATGGTTCTGCGTCTAGAAGAGATGATGATGGCGATGATGGCGGAAGGTTTGTCTGCACGTGAGCATCTACTTGATCATTTGGTGACGATATACATCTTTCTCCTTCTGCGAATTCACCGTCACCTTTGAGTTGAGGAAGAGAAGCTTTAATAATAGTTTATTTTTCTGTGAGACATACGATGTGCTCAAGCTAATCTTGATGAATACGAATACTCCCGTGTCAAAACTTCATTGTGGAATATTTCGATATTGCTTATAAAGTGTTTAATGTTCATGTAATTATTAAGAAACAAGAAAAAAAAGAGAAATGTATGTTGCATGCAGTTTTACTTCTCAATCCTGAACGGTTATGTATTTGGATGTATGTTACAGTGTTGCTTATCAATCCTGAACGGGAATGTACTTGGATCTAAAACTTTGTGAGCCCTAGAGTTATTTGACGAGATAAATTTTGCGCAGATGGCAACTTGCAAATGTGTAACACTTATTTGAGTAACTTTCCATTCCATTAACCGTTCTTCCGGGGAAAGAGATGCTACAGAAATAATGAATCGGGAGAAATATAATTCAGATTATTTGGGCCGGTATAATTATAGAGACCCCTCTATAAGATATATACCTATCGTTTTGCACATTTTGAACGAATTATATTTTTGCGAACCAGATTCAGGAAAGAGGAACGGGTTTTGCAGAGGTGGTTATAGAAAGAAAATACCTGGCCTCAGTATTTCTCGCGAGGGCGTGTAATCATGGTCATGTTGCACAAGAAGACATGATTCATGCGGAGTGTCCTGCGCTTCCTCCACGGATCCGTTAGGTCTTGGTGCATGGAGGTCAGGCGTCGGAAAATGCGCGGGTCGCTTTGCAGCTGGAGTTGAAAGTCCAGGTGATGAATGTTCTGGCAAAAGTGGAGAAATGAAATCATAAATGAATAAATGAATGAGAAACGGAACACGGACCATATCCTTAATTAGTTAAAAACTTCAAAATATTTTTAAAGATTATATGTTATGTTTCAAATAGCATAACATCAAATGATTTAATGTTTGGGGGTTTAAAAATTCAGAATTTTGATGCAACCCCCCCCCCCCCCTTCAAAAAAAGGCTCTTGCTCTCTCACTCGCCAGCACGCAGTATTCCCGATAGAGGGGCTGTAAACATGTAAGCCTCATGCTAGATATTTGTGGTACATGAGCATTCTTTTCTTTTTCTTCTTAACTTTCATATAAATTTGTTATATTAATACCTTCACAAATTCGTTGCAGGTACAAAAATGTAAAATAGAAGGACAGGTTTCGTAATTGCATAAGAATTTTCTGATTCGGTAACCCAATATAAAAAGTAATTCCCTGTTTCCTATGCAGAAGTACGTGAAATATCGGCTCGCTCGATGCGCTCGCTAGCACTATTAGGCTTTTTGGACAGGGTGAGTTCTCGGTTTGTGTTTATAAATCTTTATTCATAAGGCAATGCACCCGCCTCCTCATAATATAAAAAATATCCGATTTGAATTTATAAACCAACTTAAAGAATGCCTTATCTTTTACTCAGAAATATACAAATTTTATGCTCTCTCGTTGCACTCGCTCGCAATGATTTCAGACCCCTATAGTCTGTTCAGTATTCGGTTTGTCTGTATATGTCGTTATTTTAAAGACCAACCGCCCAATCATAAAACTTTGACAATGGGGATACACTTTGATTATTCAGGAAATAAATTTGAAGTATTCTATATACTGCGTAGGGTATGTTCATTTTTTTTTCAGTGTCCCTACCGTGGGAACGGGACACCTCTTCCCTCCATTTCCATCCTCCCCCACCCCCCCCCCCCTCCCACTCAGCCGCTTCAATCGCTCCCTCGCCCCGATATTGACCATGGGCAAATCATGAACACGGATCAATGAACATGGATTAATAAGATATCGAGTAGAATATTAAATAATTTTAGATTAATTTTTCTGAAATTGTCTCACAATAACACTGCACTTCAACATTATTCTTTCCGACACTGTTTCGTATGATCATCATAGCCCTAGCCAACTCAATTTATCCCCCCCCCCCCCCAAACAAAAACAAAAACAAACACAAAAAATCATAATTGAGGCGTGATGCTCGTTGCCCATCACCTGTGCACCATTTCCTTAGAACAATTAAAATCCTAAAATTTTTCCAGCATAAGAAATTTAGGTAAATATATTAAAGTAGGCCTACATGATTTGGACCCTGTTTGAAATTATTATCTTTGTTTGGTTGTTTGTCAGAATAAAAACTAAGCATGGGTTTGGAAGAGTGGTGTACTGATGAAAGGGTCCAATTAAATTTAGCTGTATATAGTGCCATACTAGAATTCATGGGGGAGGGGTGGTCGAGAGCAAAATAGACATTAATAATCGGATCATGTTTTGAGGAGATGCCGGATTTGGGCAGATCTGGATTCCTACCATATTCCTCCGACTCTTCATGTACTCGTTGAGGACTTTGTCCAGGGGATCCGGCTTGATGCAGCGTCCGTCGGGCGGTCCTTTTCCTACTCTGTACTGGCCTTGTTTGACTGACGAGGAACCTGTAGCACCGTCTACAAATAAAAACATTCAGTTCATAAAACGAAGGTGGCTTCCTAAAAATAGCCGTGAATGTTCTTGGCGAGGTGGTTGTTTTGACTTGATGACGATAAAAGCCTTTGTTTTTTGGTGTAAAATTTTGTTTACAATTGATGCAAGAAGAAATAGTTCCCTCCATTTTAGCCTGCAGCAGACGACAAGCTTTCCGTAACACATTGAACGCACACGTGCTCGCACTTCCGGTTGCGCATGCGCAATACGTATGTTTCGTGAAGCTACTATTTTGGAATTTTAGTGCGATCACCAAGGACCAAGTTTTAGGTTAATTTGTTGCATTAAATCAGTAAAACCTCACTATCAGATATCAAGAAAGATGACAATGGATGCGCACAGCAACGTGGCATAGCCAAATGTGAGTATAGTTCCAAAATAATTAATTGCGTTAATTTAAAATGTTTTTTTTTAAATGTAGAAATTCTAGAATTGGCCGTTCACTGTACTGGCGGTATGGGAGGAGGTCAGACGCCGTGCTACGCACGGCGTCTGGTCAGGCTACTTGCCACCATGTTTGGACGTTCAACTTGTCAAACACAAAAGCATGGCCTTCAAAATCAACTGTAAATAAATAACTAAACCCAACTCTTCCTGCTAAAACTGATATCTACTTCAGTTTCTCGTCAGCCGGGCTGGGCTAGTCAAATTCCAGGCCAGTTACATGTGCATGCGAGTGCATGCAATAACATTCACACAGTCATAGATCTAGTCACAACGTGAACAAGGATATCAAAAGTGAAAATAATTGATCATCAACAAGTCAGGCCTATTTCCCTTTCGCGCGGTGTACTATTTCATTCTTCTCGAAAAGGAAACTCAATTGAAATCATTTCACCTACCTCACAAAGCTTGCCAGCATCAATAATCCCAACTGTCAGCAATTCATCCACATAGAATAATCACGAAAATTCACAGAATTATTAACTTTCCAACGCTGCTCGCAGCGTTTCGCATATTGGGCGTACAAATTCAGTGTACGAAAATTACAACACTAGTTTGCCATTGCAGGTTTGTATTCGCTGATCTGTACATGAAGAGGGTGAGATTTCTATTGAAACGGACGCCTCGAATACAATGGAGGGAGTAACAGCGAAAATGGACCTTATCTAATAGCGCCATCTCTAGATTTTTGCGCAACATGGGAAAGGGGTGGGGCACTTATCCATTTTCCTAAAAATTCGGCCAAGGCCGTTGTGGTTTTTGTTTCAAATTACCAGCATAGTTTAGTTTCATTCTGGTTAGAAAATTGTCCATTGAAACAAACAATTGTCAAGGCAATGCGGAACTTCTTTTTCATTGAGCAATAAAGATGAGTGACACATTTGATGAATTACCAAAGCCATGTCAAACAAGGTTATTCAAAGAGTAAAGAGTAAAGAGTAATTCCAGCAGCGCTTGGTTGCAGGAGTGTGGTAGAAAATTAAGTACCATTTCTAACCACTCAAACTTGCGTTGTTGTTTTTTAATATTAATTCAGGAAGATTATTATGATTTGTGTTTTCGTCAAAATTCAAAATTGGATTATCATGAATACTTTGAAGTAGGAATTAGATTAACAAAAGCGTGTGTAAAGAACCATTCGTCAGCCGCCCGCCAGGATGCCGTTACTGCTGTTGGCAATACATAATACACACGCAATCATAATAAATCGACTTGATCGAAATTTATATACCTTATAGCCCCCAATGGGGGGGGGGGGTGTACTAGCCTAATACGTTATACGGGGGTGTACCGCTCTAATGGGTTACTTTTTTGTCAAAAAAACCCCAAAACATCGGGATGATTTTGTGCTGCAAAACTCACTGCCATAAAAGTGCCCCCACTTTTCAGATCTTGGCCTTAAACATGGGTAATACTATTTTTTTCGGGATAATATCTCACCCTTAATTTCGCTAAAGTGAAAATTTCAGATGCAAAATCCAGCAAAAAAAAATGAACTCATTTCGCTTTTTCGTCCAATTAAGTCCTCGCCGATGGTCGCACAGATTTATCAATATCATTCAGTTGAACTCCGCTTCTGACTAATTTATAAACGGGCAACTTTTTCGAGCGTACGCAATACCAAATTCTATGTAATTAAGCAATAATCGAAGGATCACAAATCACAAACATGGGTTGCGTTTTTAATGGCCAAAAGTCCCCTAATAACCTAAATTTTCTTCCAAAATGACCTTTGAAAATGGGTACGGGATGAGACGGAACAGCCGCACACCCCCATCTAAACTGAGTCTGATCCCCCTCCCCCCCCCCCGCTCATATAGCATTGTCTAAATAAAGAAATCTTTTTTGTTTTATTCGGTCTCGTGAGCCGTCGCTCAAGTGACCGTCTAAGAAAATATCTAAAGGAAACTGATTTTTGATTTGTATTAGCCTCCAATGATCCTTAATCGAGGGATTGCAAGCCTAATATCTCATTCATAATTCAATTTAGTCTAACTTTGTTTTGTCGTATCCCTTTTTATTATTGTATATGATTTTGTATGATTTTTACGATTGTACGTGTTCAAAGGAGTATATTGAATTTCAAAATGAAATGGAGATTGTTATGGACCTCCCATCTTCCGAAAATATTAAATAATTGTATCTTAAAAATCTGCCCTTTTTTGTCCTACCTTTTTTGCACATTTCCCCCTCTTTTTTCTTTCATTTCCTTGTTTTCTTCCTTTCGTTTTTCTTTTCTCTTCTTCTTTATAGCTTTCAATTTAGTTCAACAATTAAATTAAAATAATTTTACTTCCAATACTCGATCAAATCTTAACAGAAGGCTTACATACTTGATATAAAATGACATTTACAATGTAACAAACGTCGTATAAAATGAAACTTATTTGTAATTATACAATATTAAAATGTCGATGAGTAATAAACGCAAGTTTCGATATAAACAAGGTATATAGAAATAGTATTGTTATAAATTGAGTAGTATTTTAAAGGAAATTGAGAATCCACTTACAAGTAGTGCTTGTATATTGGTGTAGACTATACTTCTTTCATTTTTGAACTATTATTAGTTTAGCTGTATTTCCTCGTGTAAATGCTAAATCAAATTCGAACGTAATTATGTAAACAAACCAAGGAAAATACATTATACACAAAATATCACAATAAATCAACTTGATCGAAATGTCTAAACCTTATAGCCCCCGGGGGTATACTCGCCTAATACGGTATACGGGATGTACCGCCTTAATGGGTTACTTTTTTGCAAAAAAAACCCTAAACATCGGGTATGATTTTGTCGGCTACAAAATCCCCAAAAATGCCCCCACTTTTCAGATCTTGGCCTTTAACATGGGTTACTATTTTCCTCAGGATAATATCTCGCCCATCATCTAGCTAAAGTGAAAATTCCAGATGCAAAATTCAGCACAAAAAAATGAACTCATTTCGCTTTTTCGTCCAACGATGGTCGCACAGATTTATCAATGATCATTAATTTGAGCTCCGCTTCTGACTAATTTTTAAACTGGTAATCCCCCCTTTCTTTTTCGAGCGTACGCAATACCAAATTCTGTGTATTTGAGCAATAAACGAAGGATCACAATTCACAAACATGGGTTGCATTTTTAATGGCCAAAACTTCCCTAATAATGAGTATACCATTTTTCCCTAAAATGACCTTTGACAATGGGTATGGGATTAGACGCTTCAGCCGCACCCCCCTCCCCCCCCCCCCCCCCTCTCCCGTCCAAACCAAATCTTATATAGCATTGCCTAAAGAAATTTAATTTAAAAAACTTTCGGTCTCGTGGGCCGTGGCTCAAGTGACCGTCAAAGAACATTATAAAAAGGAAACTGATCATTGATTATTGTATGATTCTTCTTGTTGTAAGCGCTTTTGGCCACTTTGGGGAAAGCGGAGTATATAAATAATAATAATTATAATGATAATAATAATAATAATAATAATAATAATAATAATAATAATAATAATAATAATAATAATAATAATAATAATAATAATAATAATAATAATAATAATAATAATAATAATAATAATAATAATAATAATAATAATAATAATAATAATAATAATAATAATAATAATAATATATAGCTTCCAATGACCCTCAATCAAAGGATTGCAAACCTCATACATAATTCAATTTAGTTTTAAATTTTATTTTATCGTATTCCTTTTCATTATTGCATATGATTATGTATGATCTTTACGATTGTACGGGTTCAAAGGAGTATATTGAATTTCAAAATGAAGTGTGGATTGTTATGGACCTCCCATCTTCCCAAAATATTAAATAATTATATTTTAAAAGTCTGCCTTTTTTGTCCTACCCTTTTTTTGCTCATTTCCCCCTAATCTTTTTTCTTCCATTTTCTTATTTTCTTCTTTTCTTTTTTCTTTTTTCTTCTTCTTTATAGCTTTCAATTCAGTTCAACAATTCAATTCAAATAATTTTACTTCCAAAACTCAATCAAATCGTACATACTTGATATAAAATGGCATTTACAATGTAACAAACGTCGTTGAAAATGAAACCTATTTGTACTTACACAATATTAAAATGTCGATAAGTAATAAACGCAAGTTTCGATATATATACAAGGTATATTATATACCTTGTATATATATCGAAACTTGCATTTATAGACATAGTATTGTTATAAATTGAGTAGTATTCTAAGGGAAATTGAGAAATCCACTTACAAATAGTGCTTGTATTGGTGTAGATTACTCCTTTCGTTTTTGAACTATTATTTCATCCATTTCCTCGTGTAAATGCTGAATCAAATTCGAACGTAATTATGTAAACAAACAAAGAGAAATTTCAGTTTCCGAAGTTATAGATAAAATAACATTAGCTTATCATAATAATAATTGTTATCATAATATTTATATCATAATATTATGATGATAATAACTCTAGAAAATAATCTTAGTATATTTTTCAGTATAGAATATCACTTTTATAGTCAATTAAAAGTATAATGGAGTGGGGATCATGACTCTCTCTCTCTCTCTCTCTCTCTCTCTCTCTCTCTCTCTCTCTATACTTCCCTACATGTATCTGTCTCTCTTTCTCTCATCTTTTCTCTCATCTACTCCCCTCACGTTTCCTATTTTCTATTCTCTTTACATGTTCTTTCACTCTTTCTCTGAAACAATTTTTAAAATTTTGTATTCACTCCCAAATCTTAGATAAATTTCTTGTCCCACTTTTCCCTCCCTTACAGACTTCCTTTTGAAAAATGTTTAACGATATCCCTTGTCTGATCAAATTCAATCGAAAAGCTACAAATTACTAAAATCTTTTTTCAAAGCTATATGATATAGCAGGTAAAGAGAGCATAGGAAGTCCGATACTGTCTACGGAACGTAAAAACGATAGTTTTCCCTTTATTATTCTGTTGTTTGTTTCTTTCACTGGTGAAGGTTATTTTGATAGCATCTTATTCCACTTTATCCGTTTTCTTGGAATAAGAACTTTCATTGATTATTAGAGTTTGAAAAAGTACATGGTGTATCTGGAAGATGGATAGCCATAAAAGAGCTTTTAATTTCGGGAATTTTTTTTTTGTTTTAGCAGATTATTTCCTCAACCGCCAACTTCTCGACAAAATGGTTACCCGCGTTTGCAAATTATTACAGAGGTATATCAATTTGAGATCTTAATAGTCATAGTTATACTGTTTATGTGTGAATATTATGTTAGATGCAATGTATTAGCAGAATATACTTTCAAACGGGGGCGTCGCAAGAGAGGGGGGGGGGGGGGTGGGGGATGTGAAGTTCTTTTTTTTTTTTCTGTCGGCAAATTCGACTTTATAAATACCTAAGCTGTTAGCAAATCTTTGGAAAGCTGTTGACATTTTGAAAAGCTTGTTTAGCAGATTATGAAGAGATTCTGTCTGCTAATTTGAAAAATCCGACAACCGTTATTTCCCTCCACAGCAAATTATAGTTCATAGTTCATAGTTCGTTTTATTTCTTATTTCAGGCAAACATTTGTACATAGATTCTAAATTCTAAACATAGATTTGAAATTCTGAATTTAAAATATGGTAACTGGAACAGTAAATCATCAATATAACAAACATAATTTGAAGTGCAATAATAATGTTCAACATACAACTCTTGTTATTAACTAAAGAAATTCTATACAAAAGTTACTTATGTAAGATCATGTTATGTACATGAAAGACAGATGGGATCTTATAGAAGCTGGGCTTGTTAGAGCAAGGTCCCCAAACATAATATAATACCTGAATGCTTTAATTTATTTTGAAGAAAAATACTTAACAACTAAACTATCATAACAAACTATAGAGGCAATTACACATGGGAAATATTTACAAAAGAGATATATTGATGTATTATGAAAAGGAGAAAATTATGACTTGTAGTATGACTTCAGCTGAATTGTAGGTACTAATTGGTCCGACCCCGGGTCCGACCCCCCCCCCTCACCCTCATTTAAAATGTTCTGGCAACCTTTTGCTTTCATAATATTATTCATAATAAAACTATCTACCGCTCACGAAAAAAAAGAGAAAAAAGGGGACTAATAAAATTGTTTGGCGAGTGTCCGGTTATATAGCGCCCGGCAAAGAGAGACAATCGTGTTTTTTTTCTTGTCGCAAAAGTTACGGACCGTCGTCGGAACAATGTCCAAAAGTAAAATATTCATTGCATGAAGAGCATTGTTGACACGAGAAGGGGCACATAGATAATCATCAAGAGCACATTTTGTGAGGAAAGGGCTAACTTAAAACTAAACAATTATTGCTTGGGTATAGATCTACCCACCAAGTCAGGGGCACACTTCGTCATAAATCGATATACCAGGAAGGGGGCAATTTGTCATTTTGAAAATAATTGTTCATAGACATGATGCTTAAAGGCTTTCTGTCTGAATGCCCCCCTCGCCCTATTTGCCCCTCCCAGCTGCGCCACTCAAGTAGGGTATACTGGACGGTGTGTCATTCAGAAGCAAGATCTGTGCACTGTGGAAGGTCCTGGCGAAACTTGAAGTTGAAAGCGCCACCTACCGACAAAAGACAGCACAGTTTTATTTCTCGTCGTGCCATCGAAATCAAAAAAGCAAACTCCTTGACTTGTATGTGTCTTTCAAACATATACTACATTGTCAACTCATCTAATAAATCCAATGTCCAATCTCTCTCTTCCACATGTCTTTCTGCCTATCTGTCTATCTGTCTGTTATCTTCTCCAAATCCTTCTCTATTTCTCTCTCATCATCTCCTTCTCTCTATCTCCCTCTCTCCATCTTTATCTGTAGCAATTTTTTTTCTCTGGAATTACTCTTTTCCTAAAGGCAATAAGTTACTTTTGAAGACTTGTGTATAGTCCATGAAAGTTTACAGTCTTAGGTTCTGAACTTCTTTGTAATTAGAGGGAGTTATTCCTAATTCAACAAAAATGGTCGAATTAATTTTGAATCATGTACAAACATCTGGAATTATACAATTAAAATGTATAAGTTGGAAGCCAATTCCCATTTGTTTTCTTCAGTTGCACTTCATTTACACTTTTTTTTAAAAATTACACTGCTTTTTTTTTTTGGGGGGGGGGGGGGGTGGTGGTTTACTGGGTCATAACTGAACGAGGCAAATTTACCAACGCTTATAAAGACCAACAAGACAGAAATTTGTTTATTTGTCAATGTATTTACACATATTATTAAAGAATTCTATACAACAATTTATACATGTATGAAATGACTTTGCAACACTGAATAGAGTCAAAATTTCTCTTATTTTAAATGAGTTTCAAACAAATCTTCATAGCAGTAGAAATTTACATGTTTAATGACAACAGTGCACATTCTTCAGATCTATGCCCAAATTTATAATGAAAATTTGATATGAATAACATCTAACACAATTCTGGGATAGATTTTGGTGACAGGCACTCAAATTAAATATTTTCAGTAACTTAATAAATCAGCTTGTAATTTGTGATTGGTAAAGAGTTACATGAAACACAACCCAGGCATCAGACATTGAACAATGAATACTAGAAGCCCCCTTTTAGATCAATCAGGAAATGAAAAGCTATCCAATTATCTAATTAAAAAAAAACCAGTACATATAAATAATATAAAAATTAAGGGAAACAGATTTGTCAAGGCAGACAAAAAAACTATTTAAAAAAAAAAAATCTATTTTATGACCATATGAGGCTTTTTGTTGTTGTCTGGCTCGTAACAAAACTACCAACATAAATAAATGGTACATTATATATGTTTATTTAACCATAATTATGGCAGTTGAAGTACCCTACTTTCAAACAAAGGTTGTTCTTGACAAAACAAAATCTTTCCCGGCATTGAAATAAGTAATGTTGCAGACTGGTTATAAGTATTGTAGTTCATTCATTAATAACAGGTTTAATAATGGAATAACTTGTCACAGGTTCCAAGGAAAGAAACATTCATCAATTTGAATAAGTTGGTAAACATGTCTTTAGCAGGACCCTAAACTATGCAATTATATTTCACTTTCTTGTGCTATAATTATCTGTGAAGCAAGGTCATGTATTAAAGAATTCTTTTCTTTACAACACTAATCCCCTATCTGACCTCCTCCATTTGTTTAGGTTTCGAAGGTAGCTGGCTTCACTGTGCGTTTAATAGCCCTGATTCTTTTGTTTGCTTTGTATGTGCCCATGAACACATTAGGCTGGCACAGGAAGAGAATGTGTGTGTGTGTGTGTGTATTGGGTTTTTGCAGACGTGTATCAATCAGATATGATTATTTATGTCTGGGACCGACCTTTAAACGTCACCATCTGAAAGACGTGACTCAGTTTCGAACCTGCGTCCTCGGCTGAATCAGTTTGTAACTTCCACTTTTTAGCTGGATTACAGGCGCACGCCACAACGCCTAGAAATGTGGGATTATACTAGTCTCTAGCTTCAGACCTTCTTTTGTTCAGGTTTCAAAGGTAGCTGGCTTCACTGTGCGTTAGCCCTGGGTCTGTTGTTTGCTTTGTGTGTGCTCATGAACACATTATGCAGACACATGAATAGAAATGTGGGATTATACTAGTCTCTCGTTTCAGACTTTTTAAGGAAGTAAGTCAGGATTTGGACCTTGTAACATAAAGTCAAGTTAGCAAATAAGCCATTCTCGTAATGTAAACAAATTATACTCTTCGTGAAGTGCCTTGGTACGAATGATTCCATTCACCTTTCATGAATAATTGTATTTCAATAGTAACAATGCAAATATGATTTATTATAAGATGATGACGTGGATCCTAATCAAATGATTGGTTGAAAGCGTACACGTGACCAGACATTTATTTTGTCTAACACGCAAACGCGCGCAATTTGGGTAATGACCGGTCATTATCAAAATCATGTTAGAAAACATTTCATTTAAAAATAAAATCTTATAAAACAAATAATACACATCATTTTGTTTGGGCATTAGTAAAATTACACTTGGTACCTTCAAAACAGCCCTATCGCCTCGCGCGTGTTAGACTGTTGCAAAGGTGCCTCGTGTGGGTAATTCTTACTAATGCCCTCTCTGATGTGTATTATTTGTATATTATGTGATGTTGGGGAAGGCAAGCTTTTGTTGTTCCTACCTAGTAAAAAATACTGTAGTCAATATGCATTCTGACTATCGAGATACAATTAATTGTAACAGGTGAATCAAAATAATTTGTAATGAGGCACTTGACAAAGATTTGTGCATTACAAGTGATTACATTACAAAAATAATATATTGATTTTTATTTTGCAAATAAGTTCATCATTATAGTGATCAAATGATTGCGTCATTGCATACAGGGCAATCTTTCAAAGCTTACATTAGGAATTTCTAAAGGCATCATTAGGAAAATAATGTACTTTGTATGCATGTCACACAGATGTTTGTTTTTATATAGAAAAGTAGAGGAACCAAAGGATAAAAAAACTTTAAGGCTGAAAAATTGTGAACCGTTCCTCCATATTATGAATGGTTGGCGGCTATGTGATTGTACGATCAACTGCCAAGTTTTGTGTTATGAGACCCTGAACTTTACACCAACAAAACAGAGTCTGAAATATGTTGGATGTAGACTAATACCTACGTAGGCCCTACGCTTCTTGACAAACTTCTAGCAAACAAATAAAAGTGCCTCATATAGCCCATGTCCTGCTGTGTAAGCTAGGATAGGCGGAAACCAGGATGGGTTTTGTTAATAGTATTTAACGACACATTATTTTCAATTTTTGTTCATGAATCGTCTAAATTCACAAAACTTAAATTATAACATGGTACAAAATCACAATGATGAACATTTGCAGTTTGTATAAATTAAGAGCTTCTCCCCAAAAAATTAACAGTTATTGAAAGTGTTGTAAATTATAGTAAGTGTCAAAAAAAGAAAAGGGTTTGAGTATGCAGACTAAGGTTATGCATGTGAATGGAAAACGTGTGTTTTAATGACAGAAGCCCATCTGGGCCCTGTCTCATAAAACTCCTTATCAATTAAAAGTTACAATAACTGTTGTAAGCTATTGAAATCGTGGCATTGGATCGGCTGATAGTAGATTTGCCATTTAGCACTTGTTATTGATAACATGTTTTTATGAAACAGGGCTCTGATATGCCTTGGGTGTGATCACATTGTGGAGTCCATTCCTACAGGACCAACAAACAAAAAAGTCTGCAGAGACCATTTTGAGAGTTCCAGGGGCGAATAAGTCAAAACCCAGCGTGTCCTTTGAGCATCCTTTGAGTCACTTACACAGTACATACGATGCACCATTTCAAGTCACTGCACCTTTCTTGAATTTCTCACTATAGGTTCCTCAAAGCTCTGTGCCATGATGCCTATAATGGATGCCAAGAACTTCATTCTGAAGCTATCCCACATTTTTCTTTATTTTTGCAGGACAGGAACCCCATGAACGGCTTATGAATTCATGCGGTTGCTTGTCACAACTATCACTCTCAACTAGCTACGCATCGTCTCATTGCGTTGTATCCTTCAAGACTTCCTTGCTCTAGGTTTCCTGCCTCTATTGATGGATACCTGAAGCTTCCTTGAAAAGCTCTATGATTTTTTTTCTGAAATGACATTTGCAAGTATTGTCTGTCACAACTTCATCTCTCAACCAGCAATGCACCATCTCATTACGTTGCGCCCTTCCATGACGTTCTTGCTCTGGGTTTCTCAAAGTCTGTTTCCTGGCGCCAGCAATGGATACCTGAAACTTTCTTGAAAAGCTTCTGACATAAATTGTCCTATGTAAGCATTGTCTGTTACAACTTCGTCTCTCAACTAGCTATGATCGTCTCATTGGGCGTCGCCCTTCCGTGACTTTCTTCCTGAGGGCTTCTCAAAGCTCTGCTTCAAGCCCCCAGCGCCGGAGGACTGGAACTTCCTGGAGAGGGCCGTCTCGTTGGCCCAAGGTGATTCCATGGTTGTGGTGTCCTGGTCAACAAGATGGGTATACTTGGTACGACCGGAACGTCCAAAGTTCTTGACCTGAAGAGAGAAAGAGCAACATACATATGTATTATTACAACTTCGCTTTTTCCATTCGTACAAATGGTGTTGGTGTTCGGATGAAACAAGGATGAAAAGAGCCACATAGCCCTGTATTGTAGAAAGCGGCCAGGATTATTTTCACACCCAGAACTTGCACCTCTTACGTATACAGTAGAGCCACAAACTAACATTTAACCCCTCTGTACTAGTTTGGTCAGGAGGGATTAGACCTCCCTGCAAGGTCACTAGCAGATGGTTATCTCATCAAATCAGCTCTCAATTAACATAAGAAAAAGGGCATCATGGGGGATCAAGGGGTACTGCTTAGGCATTGTTGGCTGTATAGAGGGCGCAACTAGCTATAAGTAGTGCAGTGAACTTTAACTAGAAGGTCCGTACTATATTCTCTATGATCTGTACTGGTGAGCCCCTGTTCATATTTTGAAGTTCTGGGGGAAGAGAAAAAATTTGGGGGTACTTTCAACAATTGATCTGGTTTTACTTCATCAAAGATACGAGGGCTACGGTTGCAATTAGGGTTCAGGGGGGTGTTTCACAAAGATCCTCTGTTGAACTTATCTCTATTAAGTTGAACTAAGTTTAACTTATTACCTGCATGACTTTTGGCAAGACTGTCTTATCAAAGTGATCTTCAAGCGTGGCTCCAGAAACGTCCCTCTTCAGTACCTCCTTCTCATCATCCTGCATTGAAACATAGAACAAAACATGGTTTGATAAATGAAATGTGTTCACAATGAATGCGAAATGGACACTACCGCCCTTCAATTTATTCATCACAGGAAGGAAAATGAAATGTGTTTACACAAAACATGATGCTAGTGCCCTATAGTCTTCTTGTCATCCTGAGAAACGTATAACGAAACGTAATAAATCAACAAAAATATGCATATTGAACATGGTATGAACATGGTATGAACATGGAATGAACATGGTATGAACATGGTATGACCATGGTATGAACATGGTATGAACATGGTATGATCATGGTATGAACATGGTATGAACATGGTATGACCATGGTATGAACATGGTATGAACATGGTATGAACATGGTATGAACATGGTATGATCATGGTATGAACATGGTATGATCATGGTATGATCATGGTATGAACATGGTATGACCATGGTATGAACATGGTATGAACATGGTATGAACATGGTATGATCATGGTATGAACATGGTATGAACATGGTATGATCATGGTATGAACATGGTATGAACATGGTATGAACATGGTATGAACATGGTATGATCATGGTATGAACATGGTATGACCATGGTATGATCATGGTATGATCATGGTATGATCATGGTATGATCATGGTATGAACATGGTATGATCATGGTATGATCATGGTATGAACATGGTATGAAATTAACTAAACTATTCATCAACCCATATTGAGTTGCGATAAAAGAGACAAATGTTCTTTCCTGAGTCTAAACAAGATTGGATACACGGTATTACAAATTTGGCGATTCACACCAACTATGGCTATGACATACTACAACTCAGGCCTTAAATTAATCCAAGGCCACCAAGGCCATGGCCTTGGATGCCCCTTTGATTGGCCTCAATGCCCCTCTCATTGGCCTTGGAGATTTTTTGTGCCCTTTCCAATTCTTCCTATTTGTGCTGTAATATAGGAATGTGCCCTACAGAAAAGTGGCCTTGCCCTAAAAGTATTGAAATTTAAGGCCTGACAACTATTTCTATTATACCGTTATTTAGATTGATCAAGTGATACAACAGATGATTATTTAGTTAATCAATCCACTCATATATTATGTGATCCATAATCTCTTCTTCCTCTAGAATGTCACACTTCTACCTTTATATCGTTGTTTCTTTTTCTCTCCATTCTCTCTCACTCTCTCTCTCTTTTTCTCTCTTTCAGATTATTGTAAGACGATGATATAAGTATAGATTTGTACGACAATTTGTTTATTGTCATTTCCTTACGTAAAATCAATGTAATTCAGCCCTTGGGTTGCCATAGGGAATTTTTTAAATAAATACCAATACCAATTAAAAAAATATTAAAAAAAAAAAAAAAAAATGAGAGCCTTAGAAAAAGAAAAAAAAATATATATACATGAGAGCTTTAGAACTTACCAAATAGAAAGCACCGCGATGATAGTACTTCTGCAAGAACTTGTATCGTCCCTTGTTCTGTTTGTTGGTTATCTGTTTTGGGTTCTGTCTCAGTTCTTCTCTTCTCTCCTCCTCCGTCATGTTCCTCAGCCTCTCCGTTTCCTGCCTCTCCTTCTCGATCCTGGATCACAAAGGAGGAATGAATCACAAGTGATTAGTTAATATTATATTCCACATACAAAGAATATTGCGCTATGATTGGTCAAAAGTAAATCATGTCATGAAAGATAGTTCGCCCATCATTGATAGGTGAAGAAAAGTTTGTTGCACTTTCTTGTATACGTACGTACGTATTAATGCATGCACTGTATGTATTGTACACCGTTTGCTAGCTGTTAATTGATGATTTGTTGCTCTTAAATTACGGAAGAAGTGAGATGTTCCCGATGTGGAATAAAAAGCAAATAATCACCTTTAGGTTTTAAGCGAGGGCAAACTATCACTTCCTCGGCGATCTGAATGTATACGCTATCTTTCCTCAGTTTCGCTTCGGAAAGATAGCTACATCCAGATCGCCTCGGAAGTGATAGTTTGTCCCATCACTATCACCAACGTTAATTATTTGCTTAATAATAGGTCCATTTATAAAACACAGCGAGTATGTGAATATACTCTACTGCGTTTACAACAAAATGAAAAATTAATACCCCAGCCATAGCTGAGCAGCTATAATAAGGCATTCAAGGAATTTCTTCCTACTTGGAACCCATTTACTTTACCTGGGTGGAGGGTGGCAGAATAAATGTAGATTAATGTCTTGCCAAAGGACATTAATGCTGCGGCGGGGCTCAAAATGTGAACCGTGTGTTTAACAGATGACCAAGGTAAAGTGTACCAATCATCAAAAAAAATATTGTCAATAATAAGAATGAATAAAATCAAGCAAAAAATAGTTTACCTGACAAAACAGACAAACTGCCTATAAAGACTGCTCCAGGGAAATGTAAACAGGTGTCTTTACAGACAGGTTATACGAGACAATCATCTTGAAAACTTATTAATTATGACAAGAGTACATTTACATATACATATTATGTAATGTATGTATAATACATAAATTCATAGACAGGTTTGACTGTTACTATTTTTGATCATGTCCTGACTGTTTCCAAGCTACAAAACATTACTCACTGTTCACGTTCGTCCCTGTCGCGCTTGATCCTGCGCAGTTCCCGAACTTTCCACGCCTCATACTCTACTTCATCGTTCTCATCATCTGTGTTCACGGTCAGGAGGTTAGGCTCATTTGTTCCGACATCTTCTTCCGGTTCCTGGACCTTGTTCGCATCATTCTCTACCATCTAAACAAAGATAGATTTTTAATGAATTTTTTTTAAAAACAATTAGAAAGAAGAAGAAGAAGATGATGAATCTTGTTCGAATCATTCTCTACCATCTGAAGAAAGAAAAAAATCATGAAAAATAAAGAATTATTTGCGGAATTACGAACAAAAGAGTAAGAATGAAGGAGGATGTGGAAAAAGAGCAAGAGAAGAAGGAGAAGGAGATGAAGAAGAGGAATGAGAAGAGGAAGAGTAGAGAAAGAAGGAGAGAAAGGAGCTTAGGCTCATCAGATCAGACTTGCTGAGTCTGCCTTGCATCCATCTGTACCATCTAAAATTATCTGAACAAATATTTGAAAATAAGGGAAGAACAAAACAAAAGAAGAAGATGATGCGAAAGAGGGGGAGGAGGAGGAGGAATAGGAGAAGGAGAACAATAAAGAACCTTTAAAGTTATGAAATAGAAAGCATACATAAATATCCAGGATAATGTTTTTAAAAAAGTTGTTTAAGATAAACCTGTGGAAATAGAGGGATCCACTGAAATGCAGAGCTTGTAAGATGTTTGATTGGAAGACTTACTCTTATTGTTTCTCTTTTCCTGGCCTCTGCCTTGAGCTTTGCTTCTTCTTCTAGTTCCTGTTCTTTCATGGCAGCTATCTCCTTTTCTTGAATGGTGACGCGATCTTTCCTAAAAACATCAAACAATCAATGACATTATGTGGTAATGAAGGAAAAGAATTGGTTCCTTTCCTTAAATTTAATGATTTTCCTAAATAATTCAAACAAAAGTTTGTTCTTTCATCGCAGCTCTCTCATTTTCTTGAATGGTGACGCGATCTTTCCTGAAAACATCAAACAATCAATGACAATCAATTTGATTATTACAAATAAAATAGGATGGGTTCCTTTCCATAAATACAATGATTTTTCTGAAAACATTACATGGAAGAGCATTAAAAAAGGGTAATTCCATTTCATTTCATTCACGATTTGTTAGAAACAAAATTTCATGTTTCGCCACCAAAGTATCAGGTAACATATTTTTTCCCACAATCCAACCAACATACACACAATGCAATTGCAAGACCAAGGGAGTGTTTCACAAAGATCCTAAGTTGAACTTAACTCTGAGTTGGACTTAAATGTTATGCAGAGCCATCTGTAGCCTTAAAATAAAAAGGTCAAAGGTTACAGCAAGAAATTGTGTAGTTTTCTTTAAAGGGATCGGGTAACTTTGTCTCAGATTCTGAAACAAAATCGTGATTTAGCTCATGCTGCAATGATATTTTTTAGGGCTTCAATATTACACCATATCACAGACACTGATACCATGTAGGGTCATGCATCTCAGACTTAACATTGTTAAACGATGCCTTCAAAAGAAAATTTAGTAATTTATAAATCCCTCCCAACTGTATGTCTACCGAGAGTACTTACTTGGCGACAAAGACTGGTTTTAATCTTGGCCCATCTTCTTCTTCCGAGTCGGTATACTCCTCGTATTCGGACGATTCCTCTTCATCCGAATCAACCTTTTCCTTCTTGTTGTCGTCCTCGATTCCCATGACCTAAAATAGGTCAAAGGTCGTGGGTTAATAATCTGGTTGCTTTCTTCTTCAATAATAGTGGGAACTTTGTCTCACAAAGCCATCATAGGCTTTTAAAAAAAGTTCTCCTTTTTCAATTTAAAGAACTTGTAAAGAGTGAAACATTTTTAATACATTGCCGATGATATTAATAACTTTTTTTTTCTTCATTGATTTGTTGTATTGCATAAACGTTTATTTGCTTTGATTGTATTTATATGAAAATGAAATGAATAAACAATTGATTATAAATACTAGCTCTCTTTGAAATAAATCAAGCAATTAATAAGTCCTTTCTCCACTGCATGCATAGAATGTTTACAAATGCTTTTCATTTATAGGAATAACATGCAAAAGGTTATGGATTTTCAATTTTCTGGATTGGTTATCGCATATCTACAATGTTATTGACTTCTGTGTAAGGATGTGTTGAATCTGATGGACTTCCTCTTCCTTTGTGGTTGAAATAAACTAGATGGAATTTTGACTGCGCGCAGTCAAAAATGATGCCTCCGCCATAGAGCAACTTTACAAACCAAAACGGAAGCAATTTTTAAAATTCAAGTTTGATTGTAATCCATCTGTCGGTTTTAATAATAATGCATTCACAAACATTTTATAGTCATACATAATGAGCCCCATGACCTTTGACCTGATGACCCTAAAATCTAATCAGTTAATTGCCTCTGCAAGATACATATATACATGTCTTGAGTTTGATAGTAATATGTCTATTGGTTCTCATGATAATGCGATCACAAGCTATTTGTGCATACATAATGAGCCCTGTGACCTTTGACCTCGTGACCCCAAAATCTAATCAGTTCATTGGCTCTGTTAGATACAAACATGACCCAAGTTTGGCAGGAATCCATTGACCGGTTCTTGAGATAACGCGATCACAAGCTATTTTTGTATACATAATGAGCCCTGTGACCTTTGACCTTCGACCTCATGACCCCAAAATCTAATCAGTTCATTGGCTCTGTTAGATACATACATGACCCAAGTTTGGCAGGAATCCATTGATCGGTTCTTGAGATAATGCGATCACAAGCTATTTTTGTATACATAATGAGCCCTGTGACCTTTGACCTCCGACCTCGTGACCCCAAAATCTAATCAGTTCATTGGCTCTGTTAGATACATACATGACCCAAGTTTGGCAGGAATCCATTGATCGGTTCTTGAGATATTGCGATCACAAGCTATTTTTGAATACATAATGAGCCCTGTGACCTTTGACCTTCGATCTCGTGACCCCAAAATCTAGTCAGTTCATTGGCTCTGTAAGATACATACATGATCCAAGTTTGGAGAGAATCCATTAATTGGTTCTTGAGATAACGCGATCACGAGAACGGGACGTACGGACGGACGTACGGACGGACGGACAACCAGAAAACATAATGCCTCCGGCTACTTTGTAGCGGAGGCATAAAAATAAACAAGTTGTTTCAGTGAATAGATTCGGACTCTGGATGAACACAGCTTCCTGTGACATAACTCTCTTTACTCTACTAGCTATGGTCCCATGTACACAAATGGACATTCAATCAATAATTTAACTTCTACATTTTCTTGCACTCTTCACCTAGCTATATGTGGGAACTATTTTCATGCTCCATGAATTGGACCTCTCAATGAGCACAGCTTCTGCTGATGCAACTATGTATTCTACCAGCTATGGTCCCTCTTCACTCAACTATTTATAATCCTATGAACACAAATGGATACTGAATTAACAAATTAGCCTGTACCTCTATATCCTCTTGCACTCTTCGACTAGGAAATTATTTGTGTGCTCAATAAAATTGGCCTCTCAATGAGCACAGCTTCTGTTGATGCAACTATCTCTATTCCACTAGCTATGGTCGCTCTCTACTCAAGTAACTATAATCCCCAAGTACACAAATAGATATTGAATCAATAAATTCACTTGTACCTCTATATCCTCTTGCACTCTCTGCCTAGCTCTAGCCCGCATCGCAGCTCTCCTACGCTCTATCTCCTCCTCATCGAGTTCCTCCTCGTCAGACGAGCTCTCCTCAACCTCCATCCGATAGGTCTTGCTCGGTGCCTGATCTCGACGGTCGACCTCGCGGAAACTCCTTGAATACCCCTCATCCTCCTTTTCCTCAGCGGCTTCTTCTTCTTCGGAGCTCTCCTCCCGATGTCGATCGCGTACCCTGCTCCCGAAGTCTCGGCTGCGATGGGTGAGGTAGTCCTCCTCCTCATGGTCTTCCTCATCATCGTCGCCTTCGTCCAGGATCTCGGGACCATGGATGTGCCTGTGACGTGCGATCCTAAGGAGGCAAAATCACAAAAACTTTTGAAAATCGGAAGTTGTTGACCTAAAATAATAACAATATTGGGTTCTTGTATAGCGCGCTTTATAATACAACTCTACGTTCATTCAGCTTTCCACTGATATGGAGATGTATTTCTAACATAAGGCCTCTGCACTAGCTGGCCAGGAGGGATTATACCTCCCTGCATGGTCACTGACAGGTGGTTATCTCATCAAATCGGCTCTCAATTAACTGAAGAAAAAGGGGATCATGGGGGACCAACATGCACCGATTAAGCATTGTTTGCTATATAGAGGGCGCAAGTAGCTATAAGTAGTGCAGTGGGGCCTTTAAAGCTTTTGAAAATTGGAAGTTGTTGACCTAAAAACTAGCTATGGATTTGATGGCACAATGACTTTGCATCAATTAAGAACGGCTCATCAAAAGTTAGGTTTTTTAAATTGCTTGTGTGCAATACTGCAAGGGTAAACATTGGTTATTTCTTTATCATACAATTCTAAGTTCATTCAGCTTTCCATTGAAGTTGTATTTTTATTGGATAACGTCTTTAACAGACAATAATAATAATAATAAAAACGGTGCTTATAAAGCGCTTACCACAGAAGTCTCAAAGCACTATAACAAACAAAATACAATGATAAACAATTACATATCAAACAAAACAAAAAGAAAATGCTAATAAACATACAAATTACAATTCATATGAAATACACATCACATGTGAACAGAGTAAGTTAGACAGGTTTGTCTAGCATGTATACAGGTTCATGGTACACACCTCTCTGCTTCGTCATCATCACTATCATCCTCATGCCTGACGCGAAGCCTCCTGATCCTGGCGTCTTCTGCGTCCAGCCTGGATGTTGGGTAGTGCTGCTTGCGTCGGCCGACAAACGGCCCTTCAGCCTCCTCATCCTCATCACTGCTGAACTGGGGTGCAAAGTCGGGTCTGAAAGGGGAGCATCAAAAAATGCAATCAGTATGTATTACGAGTCTGACAGGGGGGCATGAAAAAATGGACATGGGTTCCATTGGGTTGTAATTAAAGCCGGGGTAATAATATGATTGCAAGGCCCCCAGGGAGAATGGTAGTGATACTGATGAGGCTACCCTGGGTAAACCAGACATAATAATAATATTATTATTATTATTGGAACAAACCACAGTTTATTACTGCTGAGCTAGGGCACTAAGGCCGGTCTGAAGAGGGAGCATAAAAAATACAGTTTTCAAGTTTGAAAGTCTGACGGGGACATTCAAAATACACTTGGAACTGTAATTGGATCAGAGATGTGTCTTCACTGCTGCTGAACTGAGGTGCAAAGTGCAGTCTAGGGGGGGGGGGGGGGGAATACAAAATACACATGAATTGAAATTTGAACCGAGACATGTCATCACAGCTGAACCAAGGTGAAATGGCTGACCTACCAAAGAGGGGCACTGATTAATAACAATAGTGGAGTCTTGTATAGCGCTTATGTCTGGCACATTGCCACTCCTGGCGCTCCATCATGATAATTGTTTTCAAATAATTCTGTCTGGTCTGGATCAAAGTATCATGACTTGTCATCGACATATAAAGTCACAGGACACTTTTACTAAAGAATAAAGAAGAAAATAAATTGTGATGAATCTCACCTTTTACCAGGCACATATCTCTTGACTTTCACCTTCTGCATACTAATTTCACCTAATTATAATGAAATGAAGATCAATTTTAATTAACATCCTGAAATCACTTTAAAGCAGATCATACATGTAGGTACAGACACAAACAATGCTTTATTTCCATTCACCCACCAAAGTAGAAATTAAGCACCATAAACCAACTTTTATAAAAAAGGTTTCTTACTTTCATGTGTAGTCGTATGAAAATTTCTTTATTTTCATATCAACTATTAAAATAAGGCACATCAATGTTAAAGGCCCACTGCACTACTTATAGCTACTTGCGCCCTCTATATAACAAACAATGCCTAATCGGTGACCATTGGTCCCCCATGATCCTCTTTTTCTTATGTTAACTGAGAGCTGAGTTGATGAGATAACCACCTGTTCAGTGACCGTGCAGGGCGGTCTAATCCCTCCTGTAAACTACGGCAGATAAGCTTTAAAAGAAAACCTCAAATTAGTGAGTAATTGGGTGAATTTCTGTTGCAGCAGGATGTGCATTGTACATGGTTTTTAAAATAGACTATTCTGAAGAAAACAAGCATCAAAATCTTCATCTTGGCAAAACAGTTTAAAGCGATCACACTACTCTTCCTGTCGAATTGGTGTTGTTTTCATGGGACCTCTATTCATAAGGACCGCTATCCATAACGCGTAACAAAATGAAAAGTGATCCTTTTTGAATAGCGGCCCTTATAAATAGCAAGCAAACCTTAGCAAATTTACTTCGCTATTCATCAGGACCACCCTTCGTAAGGACCGCTATCCATAACGCGTGACTAAATAAATAGCGATCTTCAATAGAAAGAGGTCCTTATATTAAATGGCAAGACCCGTTTTCATTGCTATTCTCAGTCTTTTTGTTGGAAGAAAAATGTTATTGGGTTAACAGCCACATGGTGTTGAATTCCCCTTCAAAGCCCACGTTTATGCAACTTTAATTTAGTTTTCTGAGTTGGTGAGTCAAAACACCGATTATTGAGCTGGGAGACATTGCCAGACATAGCGCCAGGTCGAGGGGCATAAATCAAAACTTTAAAAAAAAAAGTGTCTTATACACAGAGATTTACGGTACTTACCTTTGTCATTTTTGACAGGTATGGCACCAGCCGTGCTCTGTATAGGAACACGCTCCGCTCCTTTGATCCCTCGACCAGACATGATGGCTGGTGATGGAGTGCGTTCCTGCAAGTGTTTGGTCTTGTCCTACACAGGACGGTTGGGGTCGGGTCAAAGGGTAGAAGGGCAATGGGATCCAGCGACCTTTGACCTTGCAAGAGTAGAAGCAGCTTGAATCCTGGAGAAATGAATAGAAGCAACAGTGAGATGTAAGAAACAGTGATAGCATGTTCAGACTAAGGCAAATTTATGCGAAACTGGCAATACGAATGGCCTAGAATCAGCCGGATTGGGGTCTGATTGGCATCAATTCGGACTGTCCAAATATGTTGGAGAGTCTCTACACATTAGGAGACGGTGATAGCCAATTCAGACTACCGCCATAGGGAATTTATACAAATCTGGTAGAAAGAATCTTTGTACAAAGAATCCAAGTACATAAATATTGAAGGGAAGTAGACAACAGCATTATGTAAGGAAACGTTGAATGAAGAAACTAATTTTGACAAGGTCAGTTTACACGACAGCTGACCAATCATTAGTGTGCACTCACGATAAGCCCCACCCAGTAATATGATTTTGAACAATGCAATGTTCAGACCAGAGCTTTCCCTCTTGAAAAATAACCATTTTTGACTGTCTAGTTAATTTTTTACAGAATCTACATAGGGGTCTATGATCTACTTATGTTTTTGTTACACAAATGATGGGCTTGTGACATGGGATATGGAGGGTGAGAGAGCCACACAATTGGCAGGGAAAAACTGTGCTGGCCCTCGTTGTTGTTTTTTAGTGTCTCCAATATCAGTAGGGGCGCTGGTCGGAGAAAGAGGATCGCCCGCCTAAACGAGGATATCCTTGTAAACGCGGACAAAATGCATCCTAAAAATTAGGGATTGTCTGCATTTTCGCTGACGTTTTTTTCTTCGGCGCTCTGCGTGTTTCGGGTTCCTGTTCCTGGCAAATATGAAAAATGGATTCCGTGTAATAAAATACCCCCAGTTCACCGTCTACTGTACCTTTATGGGTTGTCCGTCTTCCTGAGGATCTATCGCTCATTTAATGTGAAACTCTCTGTACAAATTCAATGTGAAATGCATCAAGAAAATCATTGCGGAATCCGTTTTTCGCATTGCCAACGCGCGGATCAATAATCCGAAAAAAAATCAAAAAAATCAGCCGACGACCCTTATTTTTGCGGACACATCTGTCCCCGTTTACGAAGATGATCCTTGTTTATGAGGACGATCCTAAATTCTCGGCCCAGCGCCCCTACTGAATTAAGAGACTATATTTTGTTACCTCTAATCTAATAATGCCAATTTGAGTCCAATGAAAACAAATCCCTCAGAAGAAAAGGCCTAACATTAACAAAATTTAGAAAGCAAGAGAGAGAGAGAGAGAGAGAGAGAGAGAAGAAAGGTTTCTCATCATCACATCACAGCATGAAAACCTTCAGATCATCATGTTATCAATAATAAACATTTCATTAATCAAACAAGTGAACACAAGGACACTGTGAACTGTATGATAATATTTAATGATCGCATCTTGCAATCAGCTCAGCTCAGTCGATTTTGACACGATTTCTTCACACACATTTGTATTACCAGTCCCACACATGGCAAATGATGTTGCACAGTTCACTACCAAATCACAAATACATTTAAATTTGAGAAAACGGTTACATCATTGTACTAATCATTACCAAAAAAAATTAAATTATGTAAACAAGAGTGGTTTACATACAGAATAAAGGAGACTTGGTTTTTTACTTACTCAGATTAAACTGTTTTTGTTTGGCTTTTCATTTCAGCAGTCAAATTTTCCCCTTCAGTTCCTATAAGTCGACGTAGATGGCGATATATGAATGTACAGCCGAAAATAAAAAGACTAGTGTCCGAACACTTCTTTGCGAGTGTTCTTCGCACTTGTCTTTCGTATGAAGTGACATTGTGCAATATGTGTGAATATAATCCTTTAGAAATGTGACTACAATCTTCCAATAGCTTTCGCGTGACCAATGAATATCCACCCATTTTTGCAAGACTGCTAGCGGAAAACAAGAATAAATAGTACAATTTCTTGATCAAATTACATCTGAGGGGAATAATTCATTCAGAGAACAATGGTAAATATCAATATCTTATTATATGATAATGTATTTTCTTATGTAATCGTGTAAATGGAGATGTAGAGCTGTGACCTGTGCGTGTTTCTGTCGTGCCATTTTTTGCCAAAATATGGCAAATGCTGTTTTGCCTGGAAAGCCACACAATATGAAGAAATGTGGGCTAGTTCGAAATCATATCCAGACTTTAACCCGTAACTCAGGCGTGGAGACATCATACTAAAACATACAAAAAATCAACTAGGCCTAAATCTGTTATCAACTGTTCAAATAAATAATGGTCATTGTTGTGTTTCTTACCTGTTTTGTTATTCCTTTTGGACTCTTGGTCTGCGAGTATTTTCCAAAAAACAAAGACATTAAATTAATTTAAAAAAATTAAGAAATATGATTTTCTCTAACAGTAACAAGTTAGGGTTTCACAGCAAACTGCTGCAAAATATGTCAATACAATACACCAGCTTAGGGTAACAACAGTGCACATGCACAGACATGGGCGCCATTTTAATTTACCTCCAGAGGTCAGTGGTTTACGTGTGAATTAAGACGGCGCCCATGCAAATATGATGCGAGCGCACAGCAGCGCAGGCGTGGCGCAACAATATATGCGCATCTGAAAACGTTGATGACGCAATGTTTCCGCGCATATTAAACTGGCGGCCTTAACCGTAAAAGGGTGTATGGAATGCTATATACGGACAGTGTGGTTCGTGCTTGAAGTTAGCGACTGTAATCTCAGATCCTCATTAATTAAATTCATGTGATGTAGATCTAGACAGTTTTATTTGTAAGTAATTCACATTAAGACGATGATGATCATCATTACGGCCGCTAACTTCACGCACATGCGCGCCCGCACCCTATCTTCAGTATGGTTTGCTATTTTTATATATTTATCTCTACACCGGAGTTACGGGTCAAAGTCTGGATTTGATTCTGAACTAGCGTCAAAATGAGATGTTAAACACTGGGACATTTCTTGAAATAAGCCTTCACCCATTTTAGCGCACACCCTTGACTTGAGTGTAATTCTATCAAGGAGGACAGAAGTTTCATGACATGTTAACACAAAATGAACTGGTGCTTCTCTGCATGCCGCACACTGCTGCAAGGTCAGGCAAGGGTGGGGCAAGGCCCATGTCGCTGTTTCCTTGCAAAGTAACAAAGGAGTGGTGGCTTATTTCAGGAGTCCAGAATGGCAAACATTTTCAACAACAAAAAAGAAAAGAAGAAGAAAAAAGTTTCAAAAAATTATGATATTAATAATGAATTATTAGTGTAAAATAAGTGTAAAATGAAATGTAAACTAGAATTTATATCTAGTGTCACTGTAATAAGAGTGTGAAAAGCACGCACAGAGAGTTTGCTAAATTCGGTGAACTCTTGTGTGTTCGCTTTCATAGATCTACACGTATACTAAACTACTGGTAATCATTAATAATTATTATCGTAAGGTAAGTATCATTAACTATCAAATTGAAGAAAATAAAAGCTGTTTTCGCATTGCCAATTTGAAATTTACTTTACGATAATATTGATTAGTTAAGTGTACTATAGAGCACACATAAAGTTTGTTGTATTATCTGTAGAACATAAATGGTACTAGATCTTCTAACACTTTATACGTTTTTTCTCCTTCAGATTTTAACATGTTGTCGTTGTAGATTCACAACAGTTTCATGCTTCAAAACATATTAATTTACACATTCAATTGGCAATTTTCAACTTTTTTTTCTAACTGTGAAAATGGCTGTCACTTAAAATCTGTTCATGTTCATGTTGCAACAATCTGTACTCTTACTATAGATTATGGATCAACTTTTATTTTTTTCACTGTGTAGAGCTTTTTCGGGCTAGGCCAAGGAGCCGATATCGACATCGCGCTCGACGATGCAGCAACAAGAAAACAGGCTGAGATCAAGACAGATGATGGCAGGAAGGAGAAACTTTATCTTTTCTACGACGGAGAGAGCTTGACAGGAAGGGTAAAATAGATTGCTTAAAATTCAGATATCATTCATAACTCAAAACTGTCATAATTCGAAGCCTCTCCAAATATCCATGTTTTTCCAGGGAAAACCTGGTTTGTTGTTTTATGCGAGTGAAAAAGTGGCATTGTTGGGAAAGATTCATTTCTCTACAGTATTTTGTACTTTCGTTGTTGTAATGTATTAGCCTCAAGTGGGTGTATCAGAGTTACCTGTGCATACATGTGTAACTCTGATAATGCCCACTTGAGGCTAATACATTACAACAACGAAAGTACAAAATATGCCATGTATTAGTACCAGGTAACGTGGCTGCTTACACGCATGCCCATCACACAATAAACTGTGTTCTACTTAAAGATGATTGTGCTACTTCGCATCATTAGTTGTCCTGTCAACAAGTAGGATACATTTCAGTTGTTTTTATTGAGAGGTAAATCTTTTGTTCAATGGGATAACATTTTGATGAGTTTTGGGGGGTGTTTCACAAAGATCCTAAGTCGAACTTTTTGTTTTACTTAAAAATTATGGAGAGCCATTTGTAGCATTTAATAAAATATATTCAAAGGCGAAAAATCAATACTTTAGACTTTTTTATTAATTCCACATCAAGAACATGAAATCTCCTTGATAATAGACAATATGAATGATTTGAATCAACATTTTATGCCTTTTAAAATAACTTGTACAAAACATTTTCATAGATGCTAATGGCTTTCCAAAATTGTTCAGTCCAACTTAGAGATAAGTGCAACTTACGATCTTTATGAAATAACCCCCAGGTCTATCATGTAGAGTGCATTTTAACTTGGAATGTTATAGTCGTACTAAGTTGTAAGTAGCATTCTGCATTAATTATTCATGTTAGCCATGATGCAAATCTTGAAAGCCCTTGATCACAATTTTGTCAAATTTCTTTCATTTGAGATGAAACGTTCAAAAGAATAGAAATCGATCAGGTTTTCTACACCACATATTCTTTCAACATAATTAGTTGGACCTGAAAAGGGCCATGCTCTGCTTCAATGTTTTGATAGGTTGTTCCTAATTTCTTCAGGATGATAGGTACTGTACATCAACTTCAGGTACAACTTATCAAACGAACACAGAGCATAAGGGGATCCTTTTCAGGACCAACTAACCGTGCCGAAAGAATATGTGGTGTGTTTGCAAGCCTCACTTAAATCGTTCCTTACCATCGAAGCATTCAATGATTAAAGTTATACAGTTTATTCAATACTGTGAATTCTGAAGGGTAACCAAAAGAAAATTCTTCAAAGGTTTTTCCACTTATTTTGCTTATTCCTATCTTTAAAATATAATTAATTTAGAAGTTCTTTGTTTCTCTCTTTTTTTTCTTCTCGTAGGTCAATGTCACTCTCAAAGGCAAGAAGCTTGAACATCAAGGCATCCGTATTGAGTTCGTAGGTCAAATAGGTAAGAATATGATCACTTATCAAAAGATAATTTGACACCATTGGATATTTACCTGATAAAATATGCTATCAATCACAGGTCTTTAATGGACTGCACCAAAAGGAAATCTCATAATAACAATATCCCTGACCAGAATGGCGTTACTTTCAAGCAATTTCTTGGTGGGGCATCTCATTTCGCTGGCAGAATGGTACACCAGTTATGGTATTTCCATAGCTGCCAATCATTACATTTTCCCCGGAATTATTCATTTTTTCCCCTCCAAATTACGGTAGTTTGTTATTATTCATAAAATATGTTTTCTGAATTTTTTTTGTTGTTGTTTTGTTTTGTTTTGTTACATACCGTAGATCAAACCACTGCCCTAAAATGTTGATTTGATCACAAAACTAAGGTTAAAACATACCTGAAGAGAAAAATATTCTCAAAAAGAATCAAACGCTGATAATACCAAAATAACAATAACAAAAGACTACTTGTAATTAAACTATAGGTCCTAATATGGCAAAAAACATCATGAGGAACAGACATTTCTGCATTGGAAGGATTGTAAGTTTTGTTTTAGTGAACTCCTTTTTTTTCCCTTGAAATTCCTTCTTTTTGTTGCTTGAAATTCCTTCTTTTTTGTTGTTGCCATCATGGTTCCTTTTTTGGGTCGCACAAGGTTGGCAAAGTTGGCAGCTCTGTATTTCCTCCAAGTCCTGTACCAGCGAATTGTAATATAGTGCACATGGAAACTGCTGACAGTATTTCTTTAACATCCTCAATACTCAACTTTTCAACAATTCTGTTCTTCTTTTCTGTAGAGCTGTATTACGACAGAGGGAACCATCATGAATTCACATCGCTTGTCAAAGAGCTTGCTAGGCCAGGAGAGCTCACGCAATCAACCAGCTATCCCTTTGAATTCCTTAACGTAGAGAAACCATACGAATCGTACACAGGTGCTAATGTAAGATTAAGGTAAGTCCTCTTTCTTGCGAGTGAATTCTTTTTATTCACCTTGCCATATCGTTACGGTATGTATTTTGTTGACTATAGGGCCCCACTCACAAGCTTAGCTTCTACAGGGGTCCTAAAACCATTCATTTGATGATGTAATCAAGTTAATATATGTTGAAAAACATGTAGGGCCTACTATTACCAGTCTCTTTTTTATGTAAAAGATTATATCATGTGTTGTGTGGTTTTGAATAAATGAACTTGAACTTGATACTAAACATGAAATAAAGTGCGACTACGATCTTAACCCTATATCTTGATGAAAGAAATGCTCATTGACCCCCCCCCCCCCCCCCCAAGGCTGTGTTGTCTTGGCCCTCTCTCAGTTTGGGAGGGGGGTGGGGAGAGAGAACTGATCCTGAAAACATACTTTCTAAGAGTGACAATCACAAAGTAATTGACACATATCCTTTCTGCAATAAACGTTGATGTCTATGCCCAACTTTTTGTCAAGCCTTGGATCTTCTCAGCTATTGACTGCTTTTGACCTCTGACCTCTAACCTCTTAGATATATTTTGAGTGCTGATCACCAAGCATTTGATAGACACAGTGCATGAGATTGACCTTCTTGTCCACAACCTATCATACAACCCCTCTAAATATTCAATACTGTCTGCTACTCACTGCTATCGACCTCTGACATTTGCCCCCTTCTTTGTCAAGCCTTTGATCATGTCTGCTATTCACTTTTTTGACCTCTAACCTTTGACCTCCTACAGATACTTTCTACGAGTGACGATCACCAAACGATTGACAGACACAGTGCTTGAGATTAACCTTTGTGTCCACAACCTATAATACAACCTCTCCAAATATTCAATACTGTCTGCTATTTACTCCTTTTGATCTCTAACCTTTGACCTCCTACAGATACTTTCTACGAGTGACGATCACTAAGCGATTGACGGACACAGTGCGTGAGATGGATCTGGTGGTTCACACCCTGTCACACTACCCCGAGGTCAACTCTTCTATTAAGATGGAAGTTGGCATTGAGGACTGCCTCCATATAGAATTTGAATACAACAAATCAAAGTAAGTTGTGAGTGAGAGAAAGAGAAAGAAAATGTGAGAGAAAGATAGAGAGAGAAAGATAGGCAGAGAGGTGAGAGGGGGGGGGGGGGGCAGACAAAAAGAGGGATCAACATGTGTATAATTTGAATACAACAAATCAAGCAAGTTGTGAGTTTTTTATTTTTATGATAGGAAACCTCACCCCAAGGAATAACTTTAGTTATTCTGAGAGGTGTATTTGTGAGAGAGGGGGAAATAGAGAGAGAAAGAGAAAGAAAGATAGAAAGAGTGAGAGAAAGAGAGAAAGAGATAGAGAGAGATAGAAAGGAAGATAGGCAGTGAGAGAAGGGGGGGGGGGACAGATAAACAGACATACAGTGCAACAGAGAAAGAGGTATATTGTCATGGATTCCCTTCATATCTCTCACGTACTGGTTTTTATACCTCCCCTACAAAGTAGCCGGAGGTATTATGTTTTCGGGTTGTCCTTCTGTATGTAAGTGTGTCCATATATCCCGTTCTCGTGGTCGCTTTACCTCAAGAACCAATTGATGGATTCCCGCTAAACTTTGGTCGTGGTGGAGGCATCATTTTCGACTACGCGTAGTCAAAGATCCATCTATTTAATAACAAAGTGAAACTTAATCAACTTTATCGGATTTGATTGGACTGATAATTTTTTTCTGAACCATTTGTCTATTTGCAGATACCATCTCAAAGATGTAATCGTTGGTAAAATCTATTTCCTGCTTGTGAGAATCAAGATCAAACACATGGAACTTGCCATCATCAAAAGAGAAACAACTGGATCAGGTAAACTTAAACAATTCTTTAAAATCTTTTTACCTATCCTCTTTTATTGAAATTAATTAAAAAAGAAATAAATGAAAGACATATTCTTTGTACTAATCTTGTAAAAAGCAACTAAATACATAAGTAAAATAAATAAACTTCTGTATTCATTTTCAGGCTTTGGGTAAACGTAAACTATAGTTATTGTCACAAGAATATAATAAAACAAAACAGAATCCTACAAAATATTATGAAATATGATAAGATGGCGATATTGTTTTCTTTTAAATCATCTGATTACAAAAATTCATGTTCCCATTTTGGAATGGTGAAAATTGTGAGGACTATTATTAGCGCAATTATAAGCATCCCTTATACATATTTATGCATATATGTGAATCTCTGTTTGTGCTTTTCACTTAGCATTTTTTCCATAAATTTCGCTGATGAGACATTATTGTCTAATGGATAAGTCCCCAGAGTGTTGAACATAAAAAAAAAAAAAGGGATTTGAATGCCTGCCATAGCACTAATGTCCTTTCGCAAGGTACATCTAGGTATGTTACTCTCCTACTAGGTGATGTACATGGCTACTTGTTCGAAAAAGTTCTGTTAAAACCTGCACCAAAGGCCAGTAGAAGATGTGTAAAGTAACCATGCCACATAAATGCATCCATTATCATAAGTATTAATATTGTTTTTTATTCTCTCCCTCCCTCCCTCCCTCTATCTCTCTTTTTCAGGTCCCAACACATTCAATGAAAATGAAACCATAGCAAAATATGAAATCATGGATGGTGCCCCAGTAAGAGGTACGTATTAAAAAAAAAAATTGTTAATCTTTTTGTTTGTTTGACCTGACTTCTACGAAAGCATGTATATGCTTGTAAGTAAGCAACCAGGGGACTGACAGCTTAAAGTTGTCTCTGAGGGACTTGGTAATGAGGTGTCAATGCCTCATTAAAAGGCACTAGCGCATCGACGTGGTTTTGAACACGAGACTCCATGGTTATGAGACCACTGCTCTACCGCTGACCCATTGCGTTTTCGTAAAGTAGTCACCCCAAGAATCAAAAGTGCTTTGAATTGATGCAAAATTTACATCATTACGAAGGGGAAGCCTTACTGATAAAAAATAACTACTACCCTCATCAAAATAATGTTTGGAGCCTGCAGTAATCTTCTCTCAAAAATGTTAATTTTGAGATCCAGATTTTCAGCCTTCAGCGGTCCTCTGTAGAGCGTCAAGATTTGTGACGTCACATGCGAGACACAGCTAGCCGCAAAATTGCATGTTATGTTTTCTTATGATATCTATATGAGTTTTCAGCAAATTATTAGTGTTTTTTCAAGAGAAAATCTTTCCATCTATATATAATTTGTGCATAATTATCATTTTTCATGAATTTTCTTCGGGTGACTACTTTATAGCGGACATTTAGGAATTTATTCCTTGAAATGCTAGAGCGCCGTATGGCAGCCGTGCTAAAGCCAGGGTAATAATCGGGAGCGCCAGGAGGGTCAAATCTGACTGACATGAGCGCTATACAAGAACCCACTATTATTATTATTATTATTATTATTATTATTTATTAATTTTCTTCTAGCTGGATTTATATTTCATCTGAGAAGATCAAAACATTAGGAAGAAATTGCACCCATTGCACCCATTATTTCAGTTCTGCATTGTTTTAGCCCTAAGGTACCATCTTCACTGTGGTTATTTCTCTTTACTACATTAGTGTAAAAGCCAAATGAATAACAGAGGCATTTTTATTCTTGAGGTTCTAAAGGGAAAATTCATCCTGAATAGACATCTTCTCAGAAAGAAAGCAGAAAAATCAGAGAAGCGGACTCATGAAAGTTTCAATAAAATCTGGCTAAAAATAAGAAAGGTATATACATACTTTGAAATTTGTAATCACTAAAGGTATGAGCTCTTCAAATTGCCTGAATCGGTAATGTCTCTGAGACGAAGTGCCGGACTACTTTTCCATTTGTTTGAAATGCATATGTCATATTATTCTACTGTATATGAGTCAAAGATAATGTATGCCAGAAACCTTTGACCTATGACCTTTGATTCCTTGTGACCCCAGGTGAATCGATACCCATAAGGCTGTTCCTGTCAGGGTACGAGCTGACGCCTACGATGCGGGATGTCAACAAGAAGTTCTCAGTTCGCTACTACCTGAATCTTGTACTCGTAGACGAGGAAGAAAGGCGGTACTTCAAACAACAGGTCAGTGAAACATTATCTTTGTCACTTTTCCCTCCCCCACTAACACCTCCCTCTCTCTTTCTTCTTTGGCTCTTACTCACTGCTTCTGTTTTTGTTGTTGTCTTGTCAATATTTCCTTCCTTTTTATTTCCCTCTCTATCTCGTCTCTTTCTGTTGTTTTTTCTCTCTGATAGTCTCCGTCTTTTTCTCTCTGTGCATGTCTTTTTCCTTTCTTGTAGACTCTCTCTCTATATTCCTCTTCCGTTTTCTTTACTCCCTCATGAGTTATTTGGTTGTTTCCTTTCTATATCAGATTTGTCCTCCATCTCCTCACCTCACTTTCCTTCCTTTTTCATCTCCCCCCCCCCCCCACCCCCTCATTATTTTTGTCCTAGTAAATCGCTGTTTCTTTCTTACAGAATTTCTTTTTCTCTTAGATTGTCTGTTTTTTCTTCTCCCTGTCCCAGTCAATTTTTTTTCTCTCTTTTCCCCCTATCCTATCCCTGTTAGTTGCTTAAATTCTATCTTGTCAATTCCCTTCAGTGCTTAATCTCTGTTTGTTTGTACCTTTCTTTTTTCCCCCATTATTCTGTTCTTGATTGGACCAAAATGGCTAATCCCATATCATTTTGCAAAACTCTCGTCGTTTACAGGAAGTGACGCTGTGGCGAAAAGCCGACAAGGTCAAGAAACCACTTCAGATGCAGAGACAACAGATGCAACACTTTGTCTCGCCGTCGCAAAACAGCAAGCCAGAGCCCAGCTCAGACGAGTAGCACACCGCCCTCTCCTGCCCTCGTCGAACCAGGCAATTACAGTCAAACCTGTCTACAGCGACCACTCAAGGGAGACAAGAAAAGTGGTCTCAGTAGACAGGTGGTCTATGTTTCAATGAGACACCATTTTCAAGGGAAACAACAAGTTTCAAGTGGTCTTTGTAGAGGGATGGTCTTTGAAGACAGGTGGTCACTAAAGCAGGTTTGACTGTACTTGTATTTGAATACATAGTGTATGATGATGATGCGCTTTTAACATATTTTATATTTGCAATGGATGGTTGGGTTGACTTACCCTAACAGTGTATAGATAATCAGACTCGCATAGAAATGTTTATGTTTTTGTTGGGAACTCTTCATAAGGTAGTGTCTGGCATTTGTGTAGTACTGGCAGGGATCACTACTTTTTGTTTTGTTTACATAGCAAGAAAATAAAGAGACATAGAATAACAGGCACAGAGTGACATATATTTTCAAAAGGTGAATTTGTACATTATTTAGAAGTTTTCTTTATGAGCAGTTATATGTATGCAATAGATGAAGAAACTGAAGAACTTAGAGTCATGCGATTCGTTCAGTGACACCTGCGTTTAAAGACTGCTTGTTGAAAGAGGAGAAGTGGTCTTTATAGGCAAAGGGTCTATGTACAGGTGTGTGTGATACAGGCTTCAATTAGACATTCATTTGAAGGAGAACAAACATGTTTTTATACAGGTGGTTGCTAAAAACAGTTTTCACTGAAACAACCACTCTGCTTGAAACTTTACTTTCAAACGTTTTGAGAAAAAAACAAATTGGAATTACCGGTATTGATGTCCTGCTTTAGGAAAATATGGAGCAGTACCTTAAAGGTAAAGACCAGTATTGGAAATGCCCCAATTTCCAAAAATGAAATGGAAGCTCTCATTACCAATCATGTGAAAGAATATGTTTTGACTAATACATGATGATAAAAAATTTGCCCGGAAACCGCCTACTAATTCATATATTTGGTAAATTTGTTTCTCTCATGGTCTGTGAGAGATATAGGGTAGTCCCATATACATCTTTCTGTGTATAGTGCTTGTAACTTTACGAAGACTGGGCCAAATTTCTTATCATTTTGATGATTCCAGAACCTTGCAGATGCTAGATGCTAGATGATCAACCTTTTCTGATCGATTCCACAACGTTTCTTTCACAATGCAATCGCATGACCATATTTGGTCTTTACCTTTAATGTTTGTCCCAATCAATTGCAAATCTGAAGATCATCAGTTCTCAGATAAAACACTGAGGATGAGGGATTAATAATAGAATGAATTTATATGGGGAATAACGTGACATTTATTTGTAGAAGTGTTTCAAAAACACATGTAAATATGGCTTGTCGCTAATATTTACATTTGTGGCAATATTGGCATTAGTTTGTAGGCCTGTGGTCATGGAATGGAAGAAATATTATTTTGTTATATACTTGTTTTTAATTTCCCCACGTACAATATGTATGTCTGGTCATTGTATGTTGTGTTTCTTTGTAAAGATAATATTGCATGATCGGAGCCATCGATAAACAGAGTTTGGCCAACTTGCTTTTTCACTTGGTCACAGCGTGGTGAATATTCCTTCTGTTTTGTGCTTGCCCAAAAAATTAGTATTTGCCTCATTGTGCCCAATAGATCAGTTTACTAACATATTAAAATCGTATGCATACTTTGTAAACAAAGGTTGAAATTGACAACCTGAAAGCTTGCCCAGCATAGCAACAAGTGATGTATTCAGACTGGATTCCAAGTATTGTATTTCATTCAATGATAACAGGTTAATGGAATAACTCCTCACTGGGTCCCCAGGAAAGAAACATCCATGAATCTGAATACCGGTATACGTGTCTATTCGAACCAAGTTAGCCAAACTCTCCTGATCTATGGCTCTTTGCAGGATAGAGGAAGAGCGCCCTCTTTGGCCATTGCTTTTCATTCTGGCCAGATAAGCATCACATGATGTGTGGAATAGAATTTGTGTTCAATAATGTTTTGTTTGTCTCCTTGTAATGGTAAGGTAGTCATAATTGAATTGAATTGAATTGTGAATACATCGTAATCCAGAAAGAACGCTGCGTTCCAGTAAAACAAGTTTTTATTCTATGTCTCACAAATTTATAAACCTAATGCAAAGACTAAAGCAATGTTAAATAGAGGTAAGGTTTAGGCTAAAACCTGAAATTAATTTACACCAATCTGAGAGCTAGTGCTGTGTTTAAATTTTTGTTGAATACTGACCAACGTGAACATGAACATGTATGTGTTTTTGAATTGTCTCATTATTATTTGAAATATTATTATCTTTATCATTATCATCAATATATACTATTATTATTTCAAATAATAAACATTTTCCTAGCAATTGCACATGAATCTGTCTAGAACGTACTGTTCTGTAGTGTAGTATCAACTTCCAAAAAAGGAATATATGAAAACAGAAAACAGTATGAAAAGCCAATACTCTTTACATGTGGCTACATGTATGTACATAGGTCTCAATTTTATTCTCTCAACTGCAGTTACATATACATACTGAAAGAATTACTTGTACAATGTACACACATTTGTTATACAGAGAACTATTATGATAATAACTCCATGAGCTATGTATAGTGTGGTTTTTAAGACTTATTCTATATTTTTGTGTACATTTAACCAGGTCGTTCTCACGTTTTCATACAGGTTTGTTTCCGCTTGCGTCAAATGTTGAAATTTAGATTTATAATTTTGGGTTGTTGTCCCATGTATGTGTCAATGTGCATGTCAGTGAAGTATATAAAGAACATGTAGTCCACTTCATAGTTTTATTTACCCCCCCCCCCCCCCCCCCCCTCCTTATCCCCTCCCTCCAGCTTGACACAGGTGTTTGCACTATTAAGAGAAAACAAAATCTTTCTTTCTCATCCTTTTATTTTTTCATGAGGAAAAATGCGTAGTACAAATGTCCTCTGCACCGGGTTCATATTCAAATTCCCTCATATTTGAACTATGACCAGAACTAGATGAAAAGTTAAAGTGCCATACAAGTGTGACTATTATTATTATTATTATTATGCGCACTATGGTTTGAACAGAACAACTCTGAGAGACGGCCTTACAAGGTCGTTCAAAGCCATTGTATTATGTTATCTGTGGAAGGGCTATTAACTTAACAAGTTTTCTTATAATTGTATGCTATTCCTTCTCCCCTATAAAGATGAACTGTTCACATAAAATGTATCAGCTATCTCATTCGTAGGAAATCCTGGATACTTTAGTTTAGTTTGCGAAATTCCACATTTCTATCTTGGCCCCAATAGACTTCGCTTACATGTACATACATATGCACATAGTATTGCCATTACAAAATATGAGGTTTGCTAGTCGCGATTAAATTCAGTAACCAAGGCAACATTTGACATGCATTTATCTTTTATTGAAGAAATGTAACTTCCTAGATATATGTTATAGATTGCATAGTATCCATTTTTTTCTTCCTTTGTGTATAATTTGGTCTATACTTCATTCCATGTTAAAAGACATACAGTTAATAATTGAATTATTCATACCGCTTTGTAAATTTGGTGTTTTCATGTGTTTTTTCGTAACTCAAGAATGAAAGGTGGACCGGTTGAATCAGGGTCTGTGTTGAATACTTTTAGATGTAAGCTTTAATAGGTCACATTCTCAAGAAACATAACTTGAGACAAATTGATTTCTCGCCTAGTTAACAAAATAACAAAACTTGGTAAGGGTATGACTAATTTAGTTGTTTACTGTACGTATCTAGGGCATAGATGATTATCGCTATTTGTTTGTAAATGGAAATATATCCTGTATGTTTTATTATAAAAAGAAAGACAAAAAAAAATGGTAAGGGAACATACAGGAGGAAATATACAATGTATGACAATGTAAAAAAATGTATTAACTATTAATTAGACCTGTTTGGTATACAGCCTGCTATTTGTAAATGTACATGTATATTGCAGATCTGTATAAACAACAACAAAAAAAGAGAGAAATGATTGTAAACATCAGACAATAAAATGTATGATTACTTGTAGAATGAAATGCGTGATGAGTGATGATTGATGTCTCGGAATGGAAAGGGAGGGAGGGAAAGAGAGAGAGGGAGGGAGGAAGAGAAAGGGAGAGAGAGATGGAGATGGGGAGGGGGAGGGAGGGAGAAAGAGGGAGATGGAGAGAGAGAGGGAGGGAAAGAGAGAGAGGGAGGGAAAGAGAGAGAGGGAGGGTATATGAGAGTAGCGAGTAGCTAGAAGAGGAGAGAGAGAGAGGGAGGGAAAGAGAGAGAGGGGGAGGGGGTATGAGAGTAGCGAGTAGCTAGAAGAGGAGAGAGAGAGAGGGAGGGAAAGAGAGAGAGGGGGAGGGGGTATGAGAGTAGTGAGTAGCTAGAAGAGGAGAGAGAGAGAGGGAGGGAAAGAGAGAGAGGGAGAGGGGGTATGAGAGTAGTGAGTAGCTAGAAGAGGAGAGAGAGAGAGGGAGGGAAAGAGAGAGAGGGGGAGGGGGTATGAGAGTAGTGAGTAGCTAGAAGAGGAGAGAGAGAGAGGGAGGGAAAGAGAGAGAGGGGGAGGGGGTATGAGAGTAGTGAGTAGCTAGAAGAGGAGAGAGAGAGAGGGAGGGAAAGAGAGAGAGGGGGAGGGGGTATGAGAGTAGTGAGTAGCTAGAAGAGGAGAGAGAGAGAGGGAGGGAAAGAGAGAGAGGGGGAGGGGGTATGAGAGTAGCGAGTAGCTAGAAGAGGAGAGAGAGAGAGGGAGGGAAAGAGAGAGAGGGGGAGGGGGTATGAGAGTACTGAGTAGCTAGAAGAGGAGAGAGAGAGAGAGAGAGAGAGGGAGGGAAAGAGAGAGAGAGGGAGGGGGTATGAGAGTAGCGAGTAGCTTGAAGAGAGAGAGAGAGAGAGAGAGAGGGGGAGGGAGGGAGAGAGATAGAGGGGGGGGGGGAAGGAAAGAGAGAGAGAGAGAGAGGGTATGAAAGTAGCAGGTAGCTAGAAGAGGAGAGAGAGAGAGAAAAAGAGAGGGAGTGAGGGAAAGAGAGAGGGATGGAGAGAGAGAGAGAAAGAGGGTATGAGAGTAGCAGGT